AGTAAGAACGGCACTTTAAAACAAAACTCCTCTAGTTACGCTCAATTTGCGCTTTTGTTTTCGTATTTTGCAATCTGGCAATCTTGTTACGAAAATATTTTAAATCATTCTTGAAAAATTTCCCGTTTATGTAAGTACATTTGAATTCGCTACTCTCTTTATAGATTATGTTTTATGCTTTATTCTCTTTTTCCTTTTTATTTAATTTATTTTCTGTTTTTACGTGTTATTTTTATTTATTGTGTTCTATTTTATCTGTTGTAATTTTTGTAAAAAAATTTTTGAGTGCTCCTCACACTATTGTATTGATATTATTGATATATTTTGCTTTGGCCATATTGACACAATATCAGAAAGCACTCTTTTTTCCGGATATAATCGTGTGGGCTGATGAAAAGAATATATCTTTCATTTTTTTTTATTATTATTTATGTCTTTTTTCTTTAAATTTTTTTCCCCAGTTGTTTGTTACTTTTCTTTTATTATTTTTCTTACCCCCCCCTTTTTTTTTCATATGTCTGTGATTTTCCTTTGTATTATCTTCATTATGAACATATACTACTGGCCATTAAAATTGCTACACCAGGAAGGCGACACACCACGAACGTAAAATTCGCAGGACGAATAAAGCATGTTGTGGTATACAAATGCTTAGCTTATCAGCACATTCATGCAAAGCAGGCGGCGGTATCGACGCCTACAATGTGTTTAAGGGAAGAGATTTGACAGTAAGCTTCTCATACAGAAATTGAATTTAAGCGTTATTCTTGGGTAAAAAAGTTTTTGTTATACCTCGTGTAAGAAGGAGAAATGCCTACCAGCACGTGTCTGAGTTTGATCGACGTCAAATTGTGGCCTATCGGGATTGCGGTTTATCTAACCGAAGTATTGCTGCTCGCATTGGTAGAGATCCCATGACTGTTATCAGAATCTGGAATCGATGGGTTCATGACGGTCATATGGAACGCCGTGCAGGATCTCAGCAGCCCTCCATCACTAACAGCTGAGAAGACAGACATGGACATTATCCACATGGTCTTAAGGAATCATACAGCTACGTTACGAAACCTGAGTCAACAAATGGGGTCATTTTCAAGACAATAAGTGTCTACGAGAACAGTTTGAAGACGTTTGCAGCAGCATGGACTGTCAGCGCGGTGGCCATGGCTTCGGCTACCCTTGACGTTGCATCACTGGCAGGAGCGCCTCCAATGGTGTGATCAACGACGAACATGAAAGCAGGAATGGCATGGCGTCGTCTTTTCGGAAGAATCAAGGTTCTATATACAGCATCATGATGGCCACATCCGTGTTTGACGACATCGTGGAGAACGCCAATTGGCAGCATGCACTCGACATCGTCATACTGGTCCATCACCAGGAGTAATAGTATTGGGTGCCATTGGATATACGTCTCGATTACCTCTTGTTCACATTGCCGGCACTTTAAACAGCAGCCTTTACATTTCTGATGTGTTAGGGCCAGTTGCTCTGCCTTATCTTCAAGGCCTTCATAACGTTACGTTTCAGCAGGAAAATGCACTACCTCATGTTGACCGCACTGTCCTGACCTTCCATGACACATGTTTGCCTGTTTCCCTGGCCAGCACGTTCTCCTGATCTCTCACCAATTGAAAATGTCTGGTTGCCGAATGACTGGCCACCTCTCGTCAGTCACTACGGTGGATGAATTGCGGCATAATGCTGAAGCTGCATGGAATGATGTACCCGTCCATGCTATCCAATCTCTGTTCGACTCGATGCCTAGGAGAATAACTGCAGTTATTGCTGCCAGGGGAAGCTGCTCCGAGTACTGATTCCTCAGGATCTATAATACATCCTAATATCAGAAAAATTTAATCACTTGTCCTTCCAACTATAATGTATGTGTCCAATAAATATCATTCTGTTATTTGAATTCCTTCCTGGTGTAGCAATTTATTACCTTTATTACTTAATTATATTTACTTTATTATACTACTTTATTATATTACTTTATTATATTTACTTAAACCTTTTCAGCCTATTGGAAAAAAAAACTTTATTAGTTGCAGTAATACATGCANTATATATATATATAAATTCTATAAGCTTGCAAAAAAATTTATAGTGATCCTTAAAAGTGGACGTGACTAATAAGTTAACACTGGAAAAGAATAATGTTAGCAATCACTTTATGCAAAATATAAAATTGTGCTCTTACTAATTATCGATTTAAATAAGGCAAATAAAGAGCAAAAAAGAGAAAAAATATGTCCGTTTTGCCGGGTTCTTCGCTTTAATTCAAGAATTTATTGGAGTGAGTAATATTGAAGTGTAATATAGAGCCCTTTAGTTAAGTTAAAAACCGCCATTTTAAGAGCTTCCTAAAAGTTTCATTTAAAATTTTACTTCCTTAATAAATTATTTTCAAATACGTTACATAGAGAATTTTTATAATCAGCATCTTTTGAAGATAAATAAAGCAGATGAACCTATCTTACCAATAACTTGGTTTTATTATGTTGTTAGCATGAGCATGGCAATGATATATGCAAAGTTTGGGGTAAAATCACATAAACCTTCCATTAGAGTCATTCAATCGATTGTTCAGTTTAATATTGTATGCATATACAGCAAAGCCATAGGCAGTGCGAAGATTTTATCACTCCCCCCCCAATTCAAAATAATTGAACTAAAATTATTTTTTAATAAAATAAAATATTCCTCATTCCGTTTTATATAATTGAAATCATACAGCATATCAATTTTATAATCGATCATAATTTTTAATGTTAATCGTAAAATAACATATTGCACTCAAGAGTTTTCTAAAGAAGTATTGAATTATTATTTAAACCTCTCCAAAGTAGCATTTTGGTACTTTTATAAAACTAATTATTTTATTTAATTTTTCCAACAAGCATTAAAAAAATGAATTTTAATGTATTACTTTTTACTATTATTTTCCACAGAAATAAATTCCTTAATGATACTTTAAAAGTACGATTCATTTGAAAACATGCGACTATGAAAATTAATGCAATCTAATATCTCAAGATGCATGAGGTTCAAGATGCATTTTAAAATCCTATCTACGCCACTGATAAACAATATTAAACAAACTATAGTGCTATCGAGAACTGAAGTACCGATTCTATGCAACAGATTAAGAAACGAACTTTAATTTTTAATGAGTTTTTTTGATGATGAAAAAGGATTACCATTAGGAATACTATTTTCAAAAATTACTAACGAATACGTGAAATAAATATTGCATTGAACTAAATAGCAGTGTTACTAATTCAAATCAAATTTTCTACTTCTACAAATATTCTGTTCAAGCGAAGCAGCCTACTATCATGACTGCCGCTAAACTATGCATCATGCTTTTATTTGGAAATTGTTATAAATTTTTTGTTCTATGGTGGGTTACTAATTCTAGGAGAATTCTTCTAGGCGTCATTATTGACCTAAAAAAACAATGTAAATATTAATAGCAAATTAGCACTAATAACATCTAATTCATGCACACAGTTACATGCATACATGCTGAACTAAACTATCACAGGTAGGGAACTGTTAATCTAGTAAAACGTTTTTACTTTCAGGTGACCAGGATTTTGTGTGAATGTCCCTCACTTCTTATTATCTATTTAGATAAATCAATGAAAATTAGTTAAACAAGTCAAAATTTGTCCCTTCTCTTTAGTCTAGATAGTTTTTTCATTTATAGACTAATGTTAAAAATCAATTCATTTTTAAGAACCTTATAAATATTTAATGTAATTCAACGTTGGTACTGAACAGACAGAGAAGTTGAGAGAGAAAAATAAGATTTTTTTTTTAATAAAAAGTAAACGTTTTATTGAAACAACTGTATTTTGAGAATTTATAGTGGAGCAATGCTTGTCAAAAATCACATAAGAGGTAAATAATGTACCAAACATGAAATTAATCAAACAAATGAAAACGACACGGTATTCGTGTTGCCACATTTATTACTTTTATTTATTGCTTCGGAAGTAATTACGTACACAAGAAATAACTTTAAGTGGCCCAGAGGAGCTCTTCATTAATGCCATCAGCAGGAGCTATTACACATTACAGAGCTTCCTTGTAAGGATTTCATGCGATTACTAATATAGAACTATAATAAAGCATTCGAATATCATTTAGTCAATGGAGGGGGTAATCTACCTAGACAATGTGGTGTTTAGAAATTCTGTTTCTTCACCGTTTCAAACTATTCCCACCAGCTAATTATTTACCGCAATATTATTATACTATTGTTTGTTTAATTACTATTGGATTCAAAGTATCTTGATCTAATTTATATGAAAACAAAAGTCCTCAAACTAAAATGCTACAAAAAATATTTGTCTCATTCAAGTGTAGAAATAAACGGATGAAATAGTCACAAAAGTATGCTCCCAATTAATGTCAAATGATTCAAATTGCTTTTTTGTTAGATAGATAATTGATATTACATTATCAAAAACTCAACATATTGTAGGAGATTTGTTAATAGTTTGAAATTGAAAATTCTCATTTTTTTCGAAATAAAAATTAGTTGTAGTATATTACAACGATGCCGGGCAGGTAGTCGAGTAGTTAGCATGCCTGACTGCGAAGCCATTGGTTGCGGGTTCGAATTCCGCTCAGGTCATGGATGTTTCTCTCAGTGCTGCCCTCTATGGCGTGAATGTGGCCCACCCTATGAACGGGCATATGTGGCATTGCAGCGTGGGTAATGCTGCTCGCCTCGGTGACTGAGGTACACAAGTGTCCCCTGGGTAACATTAAAGAGCACCATTTCAGGCATCTTCCAACGCAAAGTTCTGTGACTGCCACTAAGAAAGGTGGATTTATCTTTATGCCAAAGAAATTTATCATTATTAAACTCATAATTTTAGAAAATTATAAGTTCGAATAAATTCACACAAAATTTGGTCACCCAGCCAATTTAGATAAATTGTGACCCCTTTAAAGGAAATAACATCAATATCCCTGACTCGTACCTTTGAAGAAAAAGGTGAGTCTGTTGATGGATCAAATGCTCGAGCTCTGCGGTTTACATGGTTGAGCAATTCTGTAAGCTCAGTGTCAGATTCAGAATCCGAGCTCGAACTACGACGCCTCTCATCAAACATCCGTCTTTTCAGGATCACACTCTGTACTCGACGATAAAATTAAATAAAACACTCTTAATTTACAGTTACATCTCGTATCTTTGATTGATAAAACTTTTTAATAAGGCTTTTCAGTTTAAAAAAAATTCTAGTATTTGATAGATCCAAACTTTAAAGCAATTCTGTTCTTTAATATCTCCGAACAAGCCACAACATGAAAATTAAATGTCCCTTGAAATACATATTTTAATAACTGTTTTTTTGAATTAATAATTGAATCTATATCTTGAGATACAACCATACAGTATGATATAAAATTTACTATTGTTAGTGAAGCTGCAAAATCATTAAAAATTAATAAATCTATTTGAACTATATTAAGAAAATCTTTAGATTATCTTATTTTCTGACCACCCTTGATTTTATTAAGAAATGTTCTAGAAAAAGGAAAGTCCGTTAAATTATTTTACTATATTAGCATGTTCAAAGTATACTACAAAATAATCTTAATTAACAACTTTTTAATTCGTTTATGGTTTTGAAAGAATTGGAAAAATAAACCTAAAAATAAAATAACGAAATTAAAATACTGAAGCAAGCTTATAAAAACTCCTGATACAAAGTTCTCTAAAGTTTGTAAAATTAAAAAAAGCCCCAATTTTTATCGGTTTCTAAGATACTCATGAACGTTGTTCACAGAAACCACTTTTGGAAAAAATATTTCAAATGTAACTAAACGTTAATTTCGAATAAAGATATATGCTTTTCAAAAATATAGTAGCAAAAATTATAAATAATTTAAATTAGAGAAAGTAAGGAAATTGAAATTAGAAAAAGAAAGAAAATACAAGTTCCAAATTTTTTTAAATGCATCTTTATCTAATTCAGTATAATTTTAACGAAACATTTCTAACGATTTTTAAAATTAAAATACAGTTTCACTTATGTAAAATACAGTATTTTATTTAAGTAAGCAAATTGGTTCTTAATTAGAATTGTTTAATAAATTATGTTTAAGAGTAGAACAATTAAATTAGCTCATTCTATTGCTACATAAATTGTGTAATTTTATATAATATTTGCGAGGTTTGTCCGAAGCCTTGTAAATCTGATATTACTGTGAAGCAGTGTGCTTACGCTGATTGGGTCTGTAGGCCCCTGTCTAATGCTGAGAGAATGAACAGCAATGTTAGAAAATACAGTCTACCCGCTATAATGAACCCTTATGTGGTGAAACCTCGGTTGTAGTCAACGTTTTTTGGGTTCCCGTCCAAACTATTACTTAACTAATATTATTTTGTACACTTAAAGAGAGCAGCTAAGAGATTGGTAGTTCATTGATATTTGACTCTTTCCATGTATTTAAATAAATGTTACGCGATTATATTATTAGTCTACAATGTAAATGTAAAATTATATAAATAAGTCTTTTAACTAAAAATGAAGTAATACACATTACAAAGAGGTGTTTAAAATGAATCATTTCTTGAAATGAAAAAATTATAGTTGCTTTTTTAAAAAAAAGTATATGAAAGAGCGATCGGTTGCTTCAAAATTCGAGCTTATAAATTTAACTCTCTTCAAAAATGACGAAATGAAAAATATGAACAGCTGAAAAATCCCCCAAATGACAAAATTGAAAAGATAAACGTTTAAAATATTCGTTATAAGGAGGCAACCACTTTGTTCTACAGAGAATATTTTGAATCTAACTAAATATTAGAAATTTTGGAAGAAACTCTCTGTAAGGAAACTATGTTGTAAAGAGACTATATATTTAGATAACTAATAATTTATAAAGCAAATCATGTGCCCCCTATTATAATCACCATTTCCAACAATACCACTGCAGTATGGTAAAAAATAATTTTTTTTAAGAATTTATATACAGTGAACCACCGTTTATAGTGAACTAATTACTGGGTCCACAAACGGTTCACTATGGCAGGGTTCAACTGTATTTTTGTCTCCTGTTCAAGCAGTGGTTGATGGAGTACTTATTACCTTTGCTTTATTGCCTTTACCACCTATTACCTTAACACAATTACCTTTGCATTTTGTGTGAAACTCAACAAGTCAGCAAAGGAAACTTTTCCCTTGTTAAAGATGTCTTTTAGTGATTATTTTTTTTATTAGAATATTAAGTCTAAATGGAGCGCGAGGTATTTTTTTCAGGCAATGAAGCTCAAGCGATGAGGATCATCTACAAAATGTGTATTTTGAATTCAGAACGTCTTTTGGGTGTTTCTTTAATAATACAGACATTAAACATTCCTAAAAGAACCATTAATGAGATTGTGTTGTAGATTAAAAGAAAAGCTTCTTTCTCATGCCTTGATTCCTAGTTGATTTAGAGTTGTTATCAGTTTCTCAGATATCTTACAGTCTTAGCACGGCATGCATATAAGTAGGAAGAGTGTATTTTGAAACAGTTTAATATTTTTACTAAACTGATCAACAAACATTTTTAAGTCGACTCATTGATATATATTTTTGGACAAAACTTGTATGTTTATCATATTACTAGTTATAACAAAACAGGTGTCAAGAAGCAACTGCTTTAAAACTAATTAAGTGAACTACATAATTTTTAAAATATTTCACTAGATTCCTATCAGCTAGTATCTTTATTAGAACTTCAAACCAATTAAGGTCCTGAGTTTATTTTATGTACACATATTTTACAGTATAAGATGCTTATAGAGATAATTGCCACCAAAGTATACATTTTGTCACTGATAACTTGGCCAATTTTCTTTTTACTCCATGTGGAAATGGTTATAATTATTTTAAATAGTGTGACAAATACTATAGCAAACTTGCCATTGCGTGTCGCATATTTGCTTTGAATTTAACTGCACTGAAATTATCTTATTTTTTAAGTATTGAGAAATTTCGAACATACTTAAAATTGCCTTATTAATTTTTCTATTTCAAAATTAGTTTAAACGAAAATGAATTTCCTCTTATGAACATTCTATGCAAGAAAATATTAGCATGCTGCAGTAATTCATCGACATTTGCATGTAATGTTTTCAATCATATTTCAAAGATGATTGTAAAATATTGTAATGTAGTAATTTTTTATGCTTCACCATTATTCAGCAAAATTTTCTCTATTTTTTCTCAAACAAGTGTCTATGTCTTTTTTTGCATAAACAGTAAAGAAAGTTTAACATATTCATTTTCGGCAACTAATAAAACAATTTGTTTTAATGTTGGCAGCGTAAATGCTTTTTAAAATCTGGAACTTAATATAAAGCTAGATATAATCAAGACCTAAACAGATATTCTGTTCACCAAGTGCTTAAAAATTAATGAGATACATAGAACTCTTTTTTCAAGTAATAATATAAGTGAAGAAGACCTAGCCTCACTCAAACAATTTCATACGAACTAATATTATCTTTAAGGCAATCAATAACGGGATCAGTTGCATTACATTTGAAGTTGCAGTGAAAGAAACATCACATTTTTTGCAACATTTAATTTTTTACAACAATAATTAATCTTGCAGCAATAAAAAATTTTAAAAGCAATTATTGTGTTACACATAAAAGAAAAATCATTGATAAAAATCTTTTTATTTTTATGAAACACAAATAATGTTACAATGAATTTTGAGTTGAAGAAGAATATTTTGAAATTATTTATCCTTTCTCTTTTTCTTTTTGGAAAAAAAAGTACTCTTTTCTATATTTATTTTAATTGAACCAGGAAGAAAATATATATATATATATAAAATTAAANAAGAAATAAAAAAACTTTTATTTCATAGATTATAGCGATAAAACTAACACACAAACATATATATATATATATATATGTTACTGTGAATGACTGAAATTGGTGGTTGTTGTCTTTCACCTGTGAATGTTGACAATCGCATAGTCGTGTTAGTAAATGTCCGATATGTATACTAGGTCTAGTTAAGTGCCACTGTCCAGTATGCATTTAGCCGTAGTCTGAACTCTGATGTTTCGCCTAATCTGTCCTTAGCAGATATTAAAATATCGAATAAATATAATAATATCAAGAATAAATTAATATCAAATCTGATATAACAAATATTTTGAACATTCACCAAAGCGATTATGTGATTGTTGACATTCACCGGTGAAAGTCGTCATTCTCTTGATTTTGATCATTCACGGTAATATAATATGTTACTGTGATGTCATATTATATAATATATATGGTATTATATATTATATTATACTAAAGAACTGAGCAGTTGCCAATATATATTAAGAATGATGATTTGCCCTTCATAATTAATTTATGGAAGCAAGGATACGTAAAAGTTGAATTGTATTGAATTTGAAAAGATTATTTTGAGATATTCAGTATGCTGAATTATTTATTTTCAGAGAAAAAATAGATAATAAGAGAAGGGGATTGAGAAATTAGAAAAAACTACAGATTTTTTATTTTTGGTAATTAACTAAAATGATCAAAGTTCAAGTCAAGTGCACTGTCAAGCTTAGTGGTAAAAAATCTCAAACAATATTTCAAAAATAATTTCCAAGTTTAAGTACTGTCCACTTCCAGTATAAAATAATTATTCGTTATTTCAAGTTTTTAGAAATAAATAATTCATTCTCAATACTTCTAGAGGAGTTTTCACCAATCCTGTTTGAATATGATCATCATCAGAACTTATTAATATTACAACTAATATCTTACTAATATGAACTAACAATCTACGACTAATTAAATATCTTTTCTCTGCAATTTATTTAAAAATAAATTAGCCAGTTATACCTTACAAAAATAAATATTATATGTAAGTCAGCTAATAAATTTTAGTTTTTCAAGTTAAAGGCTGAAAAATAAAGCATTAATGCTTTACCAAAGTTTCAGAAAACGTAGTAAAATAAAATAATTGGGAAAATTCGCAAGTGTCTCTTTTTTTTCTTCTTTTTTTTAGTTTGTTTGTTTTAGCGTTATATTTACAAAACTCAATTGAGCTTGGAAAAGATATTTTGCTCATAAAACTGTATTTTGTCTTAATAAAAATATATAGCAATCAATTTGCTTGGTAATGACAGTCGTTAATATATATTTTTAAATTTCATATCAAAAATCAAGTTACTAAAGTATTCATAATAAGAATCCCAACCTTAATATTTAAACAAAATATCCATCAAAATTTGTTAAATCCCTAGTGAGGAAAAACATCAAAATCAGTTTGTTTGCTTGATTAAACTTGGAGGAACTTATATTAAATGCCTATTAACTCCTCTCTGTTTCTTTCAGCTATCAAACCAGTTTTGATGTTTACAGTTCCGCTTTTCTCAGTAGTGATTTATTAGATTTTGGTAGCTTCCAGTTTTTTTCTTGCTTTAATTTTAATTTTTGACTCCTAATCCTTGTACTATTTGACAAGCATTCAAAAATATATATTAAGGACATGATAATATAACACTCTATGTACATATTCATTGTGTAAAAAAGTATAAAGACAATCGTTTGTCAAAAATTGTGTTTTGTACTTTTATTCTGATTATCGAATTCCTATTTAGAGTATGTACTTCTTTATTATTTTTTTTTTAAATTTTATATATAAATACAATGTCCCCCTGTAATGCTAATTAAAAACTATATACGGAATAGTTTTTAAAGTCCGGATTGTAAGGAGGCTGGGAAGGATTTTAGATAATTTTGATGGTTTTTAGATATTTTACCTCAACCAATAGAGACATGAAAGTAACAGACCCAGAATTATGTAAAACACATGTGGTTTTTAACTTGATTTTTTTCAGCAGTCACTTTACATATTTCTGAAAGATTTTTGATATTTTAATACAATATTACGACACACGAATTTCTAGTCAAGCGATTGATTAAATTTTTTTTCGCTATCAAGCTTGACGACGAGCACATTTAAGTTATCACTTTTTGTCTGGATTGTTTTAATTTCAGTGTGGAATAAACAAGATTTCGTTGATGACTTTTCAGTATTTATTGCTATGGATTGCCGTATATATATTTTTTTACTTTTGATAGAATGTTGAAACAACACACGAGATTCCCACCTATTGAAATTGATTTAGCTATTTTTTTCTCGTCACGAGATCCGGATTTCGGAAGTTTTCGAATTTAAAAAGTCTGGATTTTAGAGATAATGCCAAAGAATATACACAGGGGGAGAAGGCTATCTTCCATAGATATAATGTAAACTGGTCTCTCAAAGGCTGCTATGGTCCCTGTGTATAAAGAAAAAAAAGCAACATTTAGGAGCACAGCACTAGAGGTTTTTGAAACGTGTTTACACCCACTTCTCCCACCAATTATCATATTACTACAGGGAATTTGTTACTGCATTTTTGTCCTATTTATAAGCAGTACTATCTATCTATCTACATAACATACTTAAAATTGCCTTATTAATTTTTCTATTTCAAAATTAGTTTAAACGAAAATGAATTTCCTCTTATGAACATTCTATGCAAGAAAATATTAGCATGCTGCAGTAATTNATATATATATATATGTATGTATGTAGGCTTTTAATATTTTATCAGTGATGTAGAATTTTAAAGATTAAAATACTGCTAAAAAGTTTTATTTAAATTGACTATACTGAAGAAAAAAACAATTAAAATTTTTTTTTTGATAAACTGTAATTACGTATTGAAAGATAAGAAGCCACAGAAAGATGTATCTTTACTTAGTGTTTCAATTTTCTAATTCTACCATTTAGGTAAGGTTGATGAAATTATATCAATGAAGCGTATAAACTAGTTATTTATATATGAGGATCTAACTACTGTTAAACACATCAGACTTAAAATATTCACCTTTTGAGCATTTCTAAGAAGCTCATTAGGGACCGTACAAACAAGAGAATCATTTGAGAAACCATCCACTGACTTACTCTTTACTGTGATCGACTTTTTGTTTAAAGCCAAAAGTTGTTGACCATCAATAAGAGCATGATCTCCTGAAAACAAAGTCAAAAAACATATCAAAATTTATTTTTTAGATAATTTAGTTATTCTTATTTATTCAGAAGTTTCTAGGATGAAATTTTAAAATGGTCTGTAAGTATGAGGGCCGTTTTCTAAGTAAGGGCTGTTTTATTGTGTACACTAAAAGATGAAGCGCGCGTCGTGTCCTAGCATTCCTTGGGAACAATTGTGCTCAGTTACAGCTGAGTAGGTAACCTGTACGATCTGTCTTTAAAATTTTCAAATTTAACAAAACTCCTACCGCGAATGAGGTACGGTCAGTAATGTGTTGTCAGTCGATTTTTAAAAAAGCCTGTCTGCTGCATACATTCTCCGGTAGATTTGTGAAGTTCGCGAAGCTTCCTACTGACATGCTGACAGGAAATTTTGCTACTCCATGACAATGGCTCTGTCCCGAGATTTATCGGTCTCTTTTTGCTGGGAAGTTTTAGACCACCCCTCAATACAGTCACCCATTGACCTCTCCTCATATATATATTATAACATTGCATATATCGTTGAACAGCGGACCCAATTTTTTGGGTTTATGACTACTAATGTTCAACTCCGTAGCCTTGTAATTTTAAACCCAATCCAGAAGATACGGGAGCTCCTGGATCAAGTATTGGGTGAAATTTACCTTTGAGGAAGACTTTTTGATGGAACTAGCCCGCATTTGTGCTACATGGAAAGGAAAATCGCCACAACCTCCTATGGTTAGCCTGAAGGCAAGGGGACTCTAACCCATGATTCGTCTACCACTGAGGATATTTCACGTCAGCAATGTGGTTGGTGTGAGCCGGATGAGGATTTCGAATCAACCAGCCATCACTAGGATTCGAAACCGAGACACCTCATTGAGAAGCGAACACTCTATATCCTGAGCCACCATGGCTCTACATAATATATTAAAAATCAAAAGTATATGAACTGTAAGATATAAATTAAATAAATAATAAAACAAGTTGACGCATTTGGGGGATCAGCCAATTTTTCTGAATAGGGAGTTCCTGTTATTGAAACAGTCACTTAATGAGCTATGATACAATATTAAATTGTTAAAATTTATTTAACTGCATTCTTACCACTTGGACTGTCAATTTCAGCAATTTTTTTACCAGCTGCAAACACAGCATACCCAGTGACTGGTGATATTAGAGTTGAAGCTGGATTCGTCAACACTGGTAACCAAGTAATAAGAATGCTTCCATCTTGAGGACCTTGCTCCACGGATACATTCACAGGTGGATCTGGAAGACCTGTTTTACCAAATGTCTCATTTTAATTACATCTTTACACATCGTTGGAGTGTTTTTAAATCGAGACATGGCTCAAAATGCGTGTTTAAGAAAATGGTCATAGCTATTTAAGAAAATGGGCATAGCATTTAATATCTTTTTTCAAATTTCTTTTTCTTAGTATTTTTTTTTTTTTTTTGAGAATTAACTAATGAATCCAAATAAGTTCGTTATGTGATTTTGTTCATTTACATAAATCACTTGGCACAATTTATTAAACTTGTCTTTCTTTGAAAAGACTTTAAAATTCAACAGAACATATATCAGAATTCAAATAAGTAAGGAAAAGTATGCAAGTAATTTCTCGTTTAATTGTTTTACTTGGATTGAAAACTGAAAAGGTACATTTTTTGTTGCGTTCATTTTGGTAAACACACATTTTGATCTGTGTACATTTTACATTAATGTGATCGGTGGATAAGGTTGTTTTTAAAATCATTCATTATCAAAATATTTCCCATTTCCCTATTGTCAAATATTTGCGAGTTACTAAGCTTGAGTTAAAAATAACAGTAATGGATTTAAAATTTTATTGAATAAATTGTAGCTTTGTAGTTATGGGTTTTAGGACAATTTATGAGAATTTAAGTTTTGAAGATAATGGTTTGGATGGATTTCTTACACTATTGAAAAAGGATTCACACAATTATCATTCAAATGATTTATATTTGGAATTATTTCTGTTGATATATTTGCTGTTTGAAGAAGTTAAATATTTGGGGAGTTGGATATCGATTTTTTTAATAGTAAAAATATTTTAATTAATTATTTTTTTAATTAAATTGGATAGTTTAAAGCTAATTTATTTAAATTGGTGTTTAAATTAGTTACAGTACATATTTTCAATAGCTAATTATTAAATTTCAAATTTATTATTCATGTTAGTCAACTTATACTGACTTATTCTCAAACCTCGTTTGCTTAATCGCAAACGAAGATGCATATTTGCTTATTTATTTAATAAAATTAGCATAGTTTCTATTTATTTTATCATAGCTGTTGAATAGCGGATTCACAATGGAGTTACGGAAAAAAATTTTTAACTCAGTAACCTTGCAACTTTGAATCCAACCCAGAAGACAAGATAACTCCTGGATGAAACAATGAGACAAACATGCTTTTATCAAGGACTCTTCGAATTAAATTAGACTGAATTGCCACAGATAACCAGACAGCTTTAATCTATTCTTCAAGATTAAGAATCTCATAGGGAGACATTTCGAAATAGTTGTCTTAGTCATTGAGTGGATACTCTCTTTAGCTCGACATCTGGAAACATTGCATGGCTACTCTGTTCATCGCGACAAATAACTTTTGATTTAATGATACGATTTTCAGGTAACACGAATTAATCTTTAAGGTTAATTTGACCTCAAATATGCTATTTATTTAGGACAGACAATCTTTTAAATTACGAAATCAGACACAAAAACGTACTTTCTCTAAATAAACATGCATTCTTTGTCGGTTTTAAATCTCTGACACTTAAAATATGGGAGATGAGATAGCCATAATCTGGAAAATATGGATCAAGAGAGCAGTCGAGAGTCTGATTCCCGTAATGCTAATTTTACTTTTTGCACATTTCGTTGTATCTCGAGAGCTTCATTAAGCGTTTCGTTTATCCAAAGTTAATTGCATAAAAAATACTTTTTAATATTTATTTCATTTTTTATTATTTCATTTAATAATAGTCGAAAGATTTTAAACAGCAAGTTATACGAATTTTTTCATCATTTTAAACAATGTAATATTCATGGCAGAATTTAAAATTTAAATGAAATCAGTCAAATAATGTCTGAAAATTTGACTTTTAGGAATACGACTTTTTGGAAATGCTACGCAAGATGTATAATTTTATTTTGGGCTAAGTACATAAATAAATTCATCATAATAAAGTTGCTAGAATAAATATAACTACATGATGAGTGCATCTAAAATAAACTTTATACGATTCTTAAATGAATGCAGGAAGATAATATGCTCAAATTTTATTGAAATTGACCATTTTTCAAAAATATTATTACGATAATTAAACGCTTCAATTACAATGAAATAAAATCTATCAAATTGCTTATCATTATGAAGTACCCTAATAATTATAAGAACTAGATTTTTCTTCCTTAATTTCGAGTTTGTAATTAAATTTGCTGGAAAATAAAATTTCTAAGAGCCACGAGTTATTTTTTAAGGATTCATACACACGTGTTCAGAGAATATCGATTATTTTATGACAAAAACAGAGCTTATACAATATAAGAGATAAAAAAAAAATTCCAGTAGTTTCCGTAATTTGCTGCCTTAGCTTTATTAAGCATAATAAATTCTGGGAATAAATAATGATAAAAGATTTTCCAGAACTATTATTTTCCGTATAAATATAAATTGAGGACCGTATAAAAACTATATTGAATCAATGTCAATCAAAGCTATAATTTTAACAGAACCAAATACTAAAATGGTCATATAACAGATATGTTTAAATAAATGAATTGGCTGATATCATAAATTTGACGAAAAGCAAAATCAGTACAATACATCACTCCCTTCTTTTCCTCAATTACAAATATAACCTACCTTTTGGAAGAGTTCTGAACTCCACATTGCTAACTAACATTTCTAATTTTTTAGGATTTTTTTCATCATTGTACAAAAGCTTCCCTGGCTTAACTCGGACAGAAACTCGATAGACTGTATTTGGAGATAAACCTGCAATTAGAAAATTAAATCTTATTTTTATTAATCTGCTTTTCAAAGAAGCATATTCTGTGATTTGAACAAATTGATTTTTCAATTGCTATTGAATTACGCGATTGCTCTTTAGAATATAAACAACACAACATGCTGGCAAACACTTTTAGTTTAGAAAATATATACTTTACTAAAGAATAATAACTTGTTTGTACACTATAAAAAAATTTAGTGCCTCTTTACACCAAAAGTGGTAGCAATCACTATACACGTAAGTGGTGCAGAAACAATGACAGTTTCTAACGTAGTAGAACACCAAGAAAGTTCTTTTACACTACTTAGTGTAAAAAATCAGCTTTCATTTTTAGTATTTAGTAACACAAATATTTATAATAGCAGTAAAATGAGATACATATAAGAGTCAGTAAATTTATTTCTACAAAAATCTAAAGTAAGAATCATTAGTTTAGAAAGCATTTTTACCCTAATTCTTGAAATAAAATCAGTTTGTAAATAAAATGTAAGCGTCAGAGGGAATATTAAAATGATTTCTAATTAGTCATAACAGAACTGAGGAAGTTAGAAATTATGCATTATGAAATTATTTAATACATTGAACAGAGATTTAAAAATTAAAATATAAATATCCTTATTACACAATTAAAACATACAAACATATTTCATAGGCAAAATTTTATTTCTGCAAATTTATAGCGACAAACTCTCGTGAATTTGCATTCAAATGTAAACAATCTATAAACGAATATCTAAAGTACGCCAACATTAGTGATTTCGCAAGTAAAAATATTTTACGTATCGTGTGAATGCACATGAGCTTAGTGCAAACTTTCCCCATTATAAGTGTTTAGATTTAATTATACCCTTTAAATTGTGTATAAGAGCTCAATGAGGTGTTAACTTGAAATAAAGTGTTCCTTCATGCAATTTTACTGGTTCATCGGAGCAGAGTTGGGTGTCGATTACAGTAATCGATTTCAATTGTAATTAATTACAGATAATTACTGTTATGTAATCAATTACTCTTAATCGAGATCACAGGTAATCATGATTACAAGTAATCAAAACATATCATTACATGTATTCATGATTACAAGTAATTGAAATATATTATTATGAGTAATCAAAAAATATGATTACAAGTAATCATGAATAAATGTAATCATGAAAAACAGTAATCAATTTATATGATTACAGGTAATCAAGATTACAGGTAAACATGATTATATGTAATCGTGATTACAAGTTATTATAGTATACGATTCTAATTATACTTTAATTTCTAATTATACTTCATGGTAGGACACTCAATAAAAATGTATGAATATGCAATATACAAATGTCCAGTGCGCGAAAAAATAGACGGATCACCCTGAATAACTTTTGATCTAATGATCGGCTATTCATGTTCTAAAACTCAATCTTAATGGTTTAAAGGGGTGATTTTAAATATGCTAATTAGTTCATGCAAACGATATTTCAAGTTATAAAATCAGACAAAAAACGTACTTTCTTTGAAAAAACATACCTTCTTTTGACGAATTTGGATTCTCTACTCACAAAATATAGAGTGTAGCCATAAGGCCACACTCTGAGAAAGTATGGTCCCAATAGTTTGGTCAGGAGAGCAGTCGAATGTTTTTACTCTTTAATGTAAATTTTACTTTTTGAGTATTTCACCATATCACGAAAATGTTTCAGGAGAATCGGAAACTCTCTTTTAACACAATTATCCAAACATAATTCCATGCAAAAAATAAGTTTTAGTAACGATTAATTATTTTTTTATTACTTTATTAAATGATAGTCAAAAAAATGCAGTAATTTTATATTTAAATGACAAAATATAAAATTTGAGTAAACTCGGTCGATTAGAATCGAATTTTGAAAAAGTCGTTTTTTTAAAAATTTGATTTCTAAGGAACTATTTGACCAATTTTGCTCAAATTTTGTATTTTGCCATTTAAAATTTCATTCTTTGACCTGCTATACAAAACTGTGCACCTTACAATTTAAGTTTTCTCGACTATTAATAAATAAGTAATGAAAATAAGTATTAGCTTAAAGTTATTTTTTCCATGAAATTATCTTTTGATAAACGAATTATATAATTGAGTGCAAAAATTTTTTCAATTCGATTAAAATTTTGCTCGAGATAGGACGAAAAAGGCAAAAAGTAAAATTTTAATCGTTAATTTACTTCTTTGTCTATTTTTTGTTTTTGTAAATTGGATTCATTTTCTGATTAGAGTAAAATTATTATTTAGGGCTCCAAGCGTTAGACGACTTTCCTGCCCAAACTACCAGGTTGCGGCAACCCCCCATATTTTGGAGGGGGTCATTAAATCGAATTCATCAAACAAAAGTTATGTTTACTCAGAGAAGGTACATTTCTTTGTCTGATTTCGTTACTTAAAATATAGGCTGAACTGATTAATTAGTATATTTGAAGTCTCGTAATATTAAGTTGAGTCCATTAAACGTTAAGTCCTAGAACGTAACAATCCGATAGTTAGATCGAATGCTATTCAGGGTGGTTCGTTTTTTTACACATTGAAGAAGTAAATTGCATTTTACCTGTACAATGTGAATTGTGGAAATAGTAACTTCGTTGCACTAAAAATTATTGCAATTAAAACATCTGTGGGAATTCCTCTCAGAATCGAATTTATCGCAGTCAGCAAAATTGTCCATTAGATTTCTTAAATTTTTTTCTCAATTATTACTTTTAAACGTAAAATATTTTGCCGATTGAGAAGTTTGATCAGAATGACATACTTTAGGAAAAAATCTCAGAACTTTTTTTAAAAATAATATTATTCGGCATTTACCAGTTATTAATACAGCTCTCTCACTCAAAACCTAGGATAAGCGGATTTTTTTATATATATTCAAATTGTCGATTCAGTAGAAAGCATTTGGTTGCATTCTGTTTTGATAATTAACTAGTAATTTCAAAATTTTGTAATAAACAAATTACTAAATAACAGTTACAAATTACTTAATACAAAACTGCTTACCTGTGACGTGATGACGAAAGCATCCGGGTTTTACAACTTTTACTTCAACACTATTAACAGCTATAACATGTTGGAAATTACTATTGCTAGGGAGCCAACTAATAAGGGCTGATGATGCTGTAACATAAGATGCTTTTACACATGTTGGTGCCAGAGGAAAATCTATAAGAACAAAACAAATTATGAATTTGGAATAATTCTCTTTTATTTAGATGGCCTTTTCATTAAATATCATAACTACCAAGACAGTATACAATGTATAACAAACTTCTTATAATTCTATTATTTCTAATAACTATGTTTCTAATATCCATATTTCTAATATCTGTATTTCTAATATCTATATTGCTAATATCTGTATTTCTAATATCGATATTTCTGATATCTATATTTCTAATATCTATGTTTCTAATATCTATATTTCTAATATCTATATTTCTAATATCTATATTTCTAATATCTGGGGATCGATCCCCGGTGGCAGCTTGAAGCCCACCCAGCTTCAGGTTAATGGGTACCAGCTTGCCTGTGAAGTAAAGACAGCCTGTGCGCAGTGCTGACCACATTGCCATGACCACATTGCCGTGACCATGCCGTTAGACTCAAAATTGTAGAGCCTTAACTTCGATGACCCTCTTGTACACAACGGGCTGTTGCGGGAATGCTTTTTTTGGTATTTCTAATAATCTATAACATTTCAACTCTATTAAAACTACTAAATCCAACTTATCAGATGCAGATAAAGCTGAAAGTGCATCGCTTTATTAGAAATATCACTGAGAAATAACTTTTTGTTAGCTCAAGAGCACAGGAAACAACCAAACCTAGTGTGTAAAGAATAAAGTTATAGATAAAACTAAAACTAGGCATTTCAAAGAAGAAATTAATTTATGTATAAGCAGTACTGTTTCTTTTGAAAATTTAGCAGAAACTGAATTTTTAGCCTATTTTAAAATAAGTCAATGTAAAAATATTTAAATATTTTAGAAAAATCAATGTATACCTTTTCCGACAACAATAGTACAAGCAGCATCTTTTGAGTGAAATCCAGCACTTGAAATAGATCGAACACTGATCCGATGAGGCTAAAATAAAAAGTTCAACTTTTTGAAATCAATATTCCAGAATTCTTGTCATATTTCGGAAATAAAAAATAAATTTATCAAAATTTGCACCATGAATATTCAATTAAAAAATAAAAAGAATATTCTTGATGTAACACCAAGAATATTCGTTTACACTTCTTCGTGAAAAGTCACTATTTTTGGTATTCAATAGCGCTAAGATTTATAATAACAGTAAAATGTGATGCACTTGAAAGTCAGAGAAGTTATTTTTCCGATGCAATTTAAAGTAAAAACAATTAATTTAGCATTCATACACATTAATTCTTAAAATAAAATTAGTTTGTAATTCAAACACACGCGTAGCACGGAGAAGATATTAAAACGATTTCGAACTAGGCTTAACCGAGCAAAAGCTGATAGAAATTATACATTATAAAATCATTTAATACAGTTCACAGAGATTCAAAAATTAAAATGTAATAATCATTATTACAAAACTTTTACTAAATCTTATATGATTTTAACGGGAAACTTCTACTAGTTCCTGTAAATGTAGAGGGTATAAGACGGCAACAAACACAAGTTAACTCGGAGCATCGTTTGTAAATTTACTAACGATATCCAAAGTGCGCCAACATTTGTGTTAGCAAAAATAATTCACGTATGGTGTGAATGCTATTGAGCTTTTCTCTTTATAATTGTTTAGATTTAAATTACACCTTATAAATTGTATGTAGAAGTTCTATTTGGTGCTAACTTGTAATAAAGTGTTTTTTCACGCAATTTTTTGAGTTGCTCAACATTATATTCGAAGAGATATCACTCCGCAAATTTTACAGAGTAGTAACTGAACATAAAAGGAGATTTTGGCAGTTTATGGTAACAGATGCATACGAAATATCAGTAACCTACATTGAAAACTATGATAGAAGATCAACAAATACATATCCTTATCATTTTTTTGATTTGGGGGACAATTATAAAACACATTAAAAATTGTTAAATCAGTTTATAATAAATACTATCAACCTTAATCAGAAAATCAGCTAGACATGCGACAACATGCTGCTAATATTTTTTTTTAAATAAAAAAAGAAATTACGGGTCCATTTTAAAATCAAATAAAAAATAATGCTTGGAAAACAAGCAGTCTCTTGAAATTTATTTTAAGAAAACTAAACAAACGACATTTATCTCCCTTGCAGAATTTTTCATCGCTTTAAATTCAAGTTTCGGGAACTTTATCACGCAATTTCAGAATTTTAATATTGATTTATGTAGAATAAAGAGTTAAAAAGTATGTCTTGAAGTTCTACACTGTCGTAACAGTGGTGTAGTGCTTATTACTTAATAATAAAAAATACCTTTTTAAACTTCAAAAGGACTTAATTTCAAAAGGAAAGTTTCAACAATTTCCTGTATAAATTTATTAATGGAGCACTGGACAACTTATAATAATAGTTTGAGATCCATATTTAGAAATTTTTTATCATACTGTTGAGTTAAAAAGTAACACTATCAATTATCTAATATTCCTAATACCAATATTTAATTACAATTTGTAACCGACTTCAAGATTTCCTTAGTTAAATTATTTAAAATAGGCTTTTAAAAAGGACAAGCCGCTGACTAAGAAAAGTATATGAATATAATAAAAGTAAATTTATCGATTAAGAATAAAAAATATACAATTTTTAACTTAATCACTTAATTTCACAAGAAAATCTTAACAGTTTCTTGTATAAATTTATTAATGGAGCTTATAATAGTTTAAGATCAATATTTAGAATATTTGTATCATACTATTGAGTTAAAAAAAAGCTATTCATTAGTTAATATTCCTAATACAAATATTTTATTACAATTTGTAACCGAGTTCAAGATTTCGTTAGTTAAATTATTATATTTGATTTTTAAGAAACACAAACCACAAACTAAAACAAATAGTATATTAATATAATAAAGGAACACTTACCACTTAAGAATAATAAAAAATACCTTTTTAAACATCATAATGAATTAATTTCAAACAGAAAGTTTTAACAATTTCCTGTATAAATTTATTAATGGAGCACTAGACAGCTTATAATAGTTTGAAATCAATGTATAAATTTTTTTATCGTACTAATGCGGTCTCGCAGTTGACTGATCGTAAGGACATGGTTCCCAGAAGTCAAGCATCACTATCTACGGTCAGTAAGCGGATGAGAGACCACTTCGATTACCCTGCGTAGGGACCGAGGGTGCGTGGTATCAGTCCTCGTTAAACTGTTCTACCGTAAAGTGCTTGACTTCGCGCATAGATCACCGGGTTACCAAAGCAGGGGAGTCTTCCCCTCTGCAGAGGATCAAAATAACGATATCATGCCTTCGGATCATCCTCAGGGATGTTTCACAGACCGTCGCCAATAGCCGATTGTGCAACTCTAGTGCGTTTAAAAAAATAAGCACTAACAATTAGTTAATATTCCTAATACCAATATTTAATTAAAATTTATAACAGAACTCAAGATTTCATCAGTTAAATCAATTACATAAGACTTTTAAAAAATACAAACCACAGACTAAGAAAGGCTCATGAATATAATGAAGGAAAATTTATCGATTAAGAATAATAAAAACTTCTAAATAACTTTTTTACTTCAATTTAATAAATTTTTAACTTAATGAATTATATGAATTCTTAACAAATATTTTTTTTCAAACGAATTTTTAACTTTATTTTGAAGTTAAAAATTCATTTTTAACTTTAAAATCACTTATTTTCAAACAGTAAGTTTTAAAAGTTTTAGTATGAGCTTAATAATAGAGTACTGAATAACTTATATTAGTTTGAAATCATTAAATAGGAAATTTTTACCGTACAGTTGCGTTAAAAAAACATAAATATATATACAAATATTTAACATTCCTCATAGCAATATTTCATTTTAATTTGTAATCAGGATCTAGACTTCTTAAATTAAATTATTCTAAATTAGAGTTCCAATAAATTCGAAACGTAAACAAAGTAAATGAGCACAGCATTTTTGTACAAAAGTAATTTAGGGGATGATCCCTCACTTTGAATTCCTCACTTTGAATTTCCATGAAAAATATATTGTATTGATTATTGGAATCGATCATTTTTAAATTCAGATGAAAGAGACAAATCAATTATTTGTAACTGCATTTGGTGAAAATAATAAACAAATGTATGAATACTTGAATTCATCACCATTTAGTCTTTTCATAAAATGACTGAATTCCCAAAAGCTTGAAATAATGAATTTTGTGGGAAAAAAATATATGTCTGGACCATATATATAATTAAATGATGGTTTGAACTATCAAAATATGCGATTTTTACAAGCACTGTTAATTAGAATAAGAAGATGTTGCATAATTCAATTTTTTCAATTCCTCATACCAATTATTTAAAAATCCGTAATAATGTTCATGGGAAATTGAATATTCTGGCCACACATAAGATCAGGAATATCATGGTAAAGACCTCAAAACAATGACAAAATATTTTGACAAAAAATAATTGACAAAAAATAATGACAAAATATTTTTGATTATAAATATCGTGACAAAGAGCTCAGGGCAAATAATGACAAAATATTTTTGATCCATCAGGATAACTACAAACCCTGAATAAATGAGTTTGAGGATAGTTTTAAACATAAGTAACGGCTTTAATGAATGAATCTTCTCAGCTTCAAATTTCCTTTGTTTTAAATCATGACTATAAAAAAAAGTGTAATTAATTTGATTTTGGATTGTTTTACAGAGTTCAAGATGGAGCGATTTTCAAGGAAATCATTTATTGAAGCTTATTTTTTCCAGAAGCTAGAAAAATTTAATTCTGAACGCGTTTAGAACTTAATAGAAGCGTCAGTTTCAATCACATATTCCAAAGATATAAAATGGAGGTAGTCGCAACTTATGTAAATATCATTTGTAACAGATTTGCAAATCATTAATCACATAATACACTATAATAAAACTTAGTAAATCTTTAATCAGTATTAGGTGCAGCGTTTATCATTATTCCAAAGCTTAGTTAAAGATCATTTTATTTTAGTTTCACCATAAGTTGTAAAGTATGACCGAGAAATGCTTCTCTGGTGCAACTGATGGCATCAAAATTTGGTAAACGACACAAAACTTTGACGGTGACTGTAAGCTGAACAATCTTTGGTTAGACGTCATGTTTTCTTTAAAACTCTGTCTCGGTGTATCGGGACGATTAATGCATGTCGCTTCAAGTATCAACTTATTTAGGTAGGAAAATGTTTTATTTGCATGAATTAAAGTTTATTTGTTTTAAGTTGCTTTTTAGAATTTGGTTGGGGTATAAAATGGTTAGAGGTATGTCATAAAATAACCTACATACAGTAAATAGTTTTGTTACAGCAAATAGCAACCTTGGTCAGCATTTGAGTGGTTTAAAAATACGTAATAATGGTGCAAACTTCTTCTACTTTTATAAAAGAAAAAAAAAGAATGAAAATAGGTGTCTTGTTTCTTCAAAACACCTACTTTTGGTGCAACTTTCTACTGATATCTGGAGCTAGTAAAAATGCCAAAATATGGTAAAATTGAGCTCCATTTTATGTAACCAGCAAATGAATACCAATTTTTGGTGCAACGATGCTCAGAATTTTTAACAGTGTACAAGTCATTTATAGAATTAAAATAAAGAATAGTATAATACAGATCATAAGTATCGTAGTGAATACGATTATTTAAACTGCAAGTGCATTTTTAGTCATATTGTAATAAAGCTGCATTATAGCAAAACGAAGATAATTGATGGAATGAAGCTCACTTTGGAAGAATCAACTCCTTCAATTAAGGCTCTAGTTCGTTCTGAAAATTGAATTGTAGCTTTCGGTATACCATCGACATACACATGATACCCTTCTATTTTACCAGGCGCCACATCTGGAGGAACCCAACCAATTAAAAGGCTTTTATTCATTTGTCTTTCAAGAATTAAGCGTTGAGGAGGAGGAACACCTGAAATATTTGCACAAACATATTTAACATTTTATGTAAAGTTAAACAAGAGATATCATTTCTTTGAATATATATTTGCAGTATGTTCCATAATCCTTAATATGCATTTTTAAAATCCTCATTGGGTTTGAGAAAACTGAACTAAACTCAGTGGCACGACAGCCCATGGAGAGCCAAAGCCTACTTTGCCTATCTTAGTTTTCTTGACCTTAGGCTCTGGGGTCAAGAGTAGATGTTCCGGTAGGGTGGTCAGCGGAACATGGAGCATGTTTAGTCCCTAAGCATGCTTATTTTATCGACCCACTGAAGGGATGATAGGTTGAGTCAATCATGCCCGCGACCAGAAGATCGAACCCAAGACCTGTGACACGAGAGCGCGAAGAGCTACCACTCAGCCACCGGGCGGATTGAGAAAGGAAAGATTGAAAACCAGGACCATTTTTAAGCAAAATTCATTGTATATGGCTATTTAGTCAATTAACTTTTAAAAAACGCATTGTATCCTTAAAAGTACTTTTCTAATATTTGTATCTATGTTCGATATTAAACTCAACATTTTTAACTTATCAATTTTTTCACTTTAGAATATAGCGTAGAATATAGGTATGTTTAACGATGGACACCAGGCCTTCGTCTACTTTCCACTGTTCTAAGGATTCTTGCAAATTATTTTGATATGAAATATTTTTTTCTAATGTACAAACAAAATGTTACAATTTGGATTAGTTGACTGGCTTCATTTTCAAGCGTTCTATTAAATATGGGAAATTTTAGACTGGAGAGTCATTAAAAGTTTGGACCAATTATGTTAGTTCTTCCTTTTGCGCATTTCATTATCTCAAAAAAGGAGTATTTTTAATTTATATTTTATAAATACTGTTTCCCCAATTTCTCTCATATTTTAGATTTTGTCATTTAAAATAATGTCGGTTAAGTTGGTGTAAAAAGCATTTTGCTCTACCATTCAATTTTTATTCATTCATAAATAAAATAAATTATTAAAAAATAATAAAAAAAAGAAGTATTTTTTTCAATTGCAGTGACTTCGGAAAAAGAAATTTTATATTTGTGAACAAAAATTTTTTATTCGCTCTAATAGTTCCGGAGATATAACGAAATTCGAAAAAGTGAAATCAATATTAATTAGTCCAAACATTAAACTGCTGTCTTTCCTAAAATATTGGTACCATATTTTACTGAGAGACATTTTTTACATATACATATTTTACCGTCAACATGTTGCACTTATTTTTTTATTTAAAGAAATCTTGACTTACACGAAGTTTCATTCTATTTATTTCAATCTGATATCATTACGAATTAAAAATTAAAAAAAACTAAAATTGCTAACTTATAAATGAAAAAATCCTCTTGAAGCATGTTTACACTAGTCCCAGCATCATGTGCCTACACTAGCTCCATTAAGATATATATTTGTTTATCCCTACTGCTAATTAATAGAAATTATACAGGGCAAAGGTTAATGATGAAATAGGTAAAACACAGTAGAATTTTTAAGATATTATCACTCTCCGTTGAAATTCTGAAAATAAAATATGTTCATGAAAGAGTAAAGAGAAAATTTGAAAGTTACTTCTGCACCTTAAAAACCTTCTTTTGCAAACTTCTACTAAAGTATTTACAGTGTACCTATGCGACTGCACATGGTAGTGTACACCAGTGTTGCTAATTTACAATATCTCCAGAGGATCGATTAATAAAAAAGTTATTCAAGATGACCACTTTAGCCCATAAGAAACCTCCCCTCCCCCACTTGTTCCTTAACAGTTGGTTGAATATTTAGTCCATGATTGGAAATTTCTTAGTCCATGCCAACAGTAATTTGATAGGTCATTATTATCTTCCTGTCTTTATATTTCACTTGAAGCTGAAGTAATCCAGACTTTCACTAAATTTTTTTCATTCAATTTAAAAAAAAGATAGTCTAAGAATGTAACAAAAGCTAAGAATTTATCAATCTTGAAAAAACTAGCACGTTTTTCAATACAAAAAATGCATCGAATGAGAACTGTTGGCATTGTGTTTAATATAGTAGAGTGAAATTACAAAGAAATTGAATTCTGACTTGAATAAATAATTGTATTTTATAGCAATATACTATTTGAGTTTCCTGCTGTATTTGCTTACAGATGTTTAACTCTTAACTTCTTTTACTCGTCGAAACTAGATGAACTGTGAAATGATGACTAAAAGAAGTAATGTATAACTTTATTCTTTTCTATTTTCATTTTCTTTTTCTGACACGAATATCTTTAAACAGTCACAATAAAACTTTTAAATTCCATTTTTACGCTTTTGGGTGATCATTTCATCGTAAATTAAAAATGTATTTTTCTTGAAATTATTCTTTAATATCTTGCACAGAAAGAAGATAGTCGCCAATAAGACAAGACAAGAAGACACTAACATTAATGTATTACCTTTCTCAAAAGTTGCATCTACATGAACTATTATTTCTATACTTTGTTTGTATATGGATACAAAGAATAATATTTCTTTCCGTAAAAAAGGGATTATTAGTAAATTGCAATGACATTTGACTTTCTTCATCGCCTTAAATCCTTGTACTAGGGCTTCTAAGAGATCCATTTAAGAAAGAAATACTATATTGGAAAAGTCCAATTTTATTTAATTTTACTCAATTGTTTTACATCTCATCTTTTTACTAGATACATTTTACTCAACATCTGATATTATTTACCGATATAGTGATAAAATCATTGTTATATTTTTTACTCGAGTCATGTTACGGTAGTTAACGAAGCATGCGTATTTCTTTCAATACTCTTTAAAATATTGATTTTACTGAGAGGATTATCCAAAAAGTATAATTTAGACCATTCTTGTTACAAACAAGGTTTAATTATAAAAGAAGAAGTCATTATCTATATAAAGTTAGTTCAAATTTGTTTTTCTACAACCACTCGTTTGGATTTATAGCAAAAAAATTTGCAATTTTTTGAGAAAAATCTTAAAACTTTGATGATCAGGGGTGGAGTCTAACTATTATTTATTAATGGCACTTTTATAGGGGATGACATAAAATAGTAGATGAAAAGTTTTCACGTTAATAAAAACCACCCTACTGCACATAGAAAAACGATAATTGAAAAATATTGAAAATGGCCAATAAATGAAGAACTTTTATACCAAAAGCAAAATTTTCATTTCCTTGTTGGACATCCTCCTCATCATTATCTTGATCAACTTCTTCTATGTCATCTAAATCAACATAGTCATTCATTCGATGAAAGTCTTCTACAAAAGAATGAAATAGTTATGATATTGAGTAAAGAGAAACAAGTTCTGAAACAAAGTATGAAAAAAGTCTCTTAAAAAAATTTCATTCAGCTTTATTTCTAATACCTTAAAATTCATTTTATATGTAATATCTTCTTATTAATTTTATTATACCATCTTATTCGTTATTAGTTCTTAATTGCATTCAGTCTTGGGCAAGCAGGATAATTTCAGTAATTTTTTGCAATCTACAAGGTTTTGAAAGGCAACATATTAATCAAAAAATAGTAGCACAAGACTACGAAAACAAAATACATAAATTAAAAAGAATTATAAAACAAAACAAAGAAAAGATTAACCAAAGAAACTAATAAAAGAACTAGCAAATACAAATCTCCCCATAAGAAGATACAGACGTACAGAAAGCAACGGGAAAAGAAAAAAAAAGGGACCACCTTGAATAACTTCTGATGTAATGCTCGAATTTTCACGTTTTACGAATCAATCTTAATGGTAGGGGTTAAATTTAAATATGCTCATTAGTTAGTAAAAGTTACGAAATGAGACACAAAAACGTAATTTTACTCAACAAACATACCCTTTTTTCAGCAGATTCGGATTTCTGAGCCCCCAAAATATAACTGGCATCCCCAATCTAGAAAATATAGTCCCCATACTTAGATCAGGAGAGCGGTCCAAAATTTGGGCACCTTAATTTTACTTTTTGCGCATTTCGGTTCATTGTATGTCTCGCCAAAACTGCAACTGTCAAGGTAAGGGTAACTGCTTTTAGGTGCATAAGTGGGTATCCCATTGCCCACTTACCCTAGAAAGAGCTTGGCTTAATATTATTCTATCTTAATTTTATCTAGCTGTTTTCCCTTGGCGCGTACCTAATAAAGAAGTCGATATATAGCCTGGTATGACGAAGGATTTTTAGCTTTAAAAGGGAAACTTTTCTAAGAATGAATGAAGCAAAAGAGCAATTACTTTATTGTGACTAACCACCATTTCATGAACAGCTTAGCTTGTCTTGCGAATTGAGATGGATTTACTTAATGTTTCTGCAATTTTAAATAAATTATAGAATGAAACTAAATAAAATTTCAATTATCAGAACCTTTTTTTTTTTAAATATTCAAATAATTTGGACCTAAGCCGTTATTAACATTACGGAAGTATTTGAATTCCGTAAGAGTTTTTTCAATTGTAGCTCAACTTCAATTTTTCATTGAGCACAATTATTACATTAATTGAAATTAATGAAATCGATCGTAATGTTATTAATGTTATAATTAATAATTTTAAACTATACAATTCATCACCTGTATCAATGTGGTTTGAAAATGAAACACATATTAGAATTTAACATAATAAGATGATTTCACCGTAAAAACATTATTCGAAATTATAATTTTGTTTCAGAATTTTATGCGATTACGATTAAAACTATTTCTATGTTTTAATATTTAGCCATGATGATGACTTGAGAAATATTTTTTTAAGAACTAAATTAAATTCATATGTCATGTTTAGTACAGAATTGAGAAATCATTCAATAATCTTTAATAGTATTAACAAAATATTAAAACGGAAATTTTATTTATTATTATTAAGCACAACATAGTTAAATGTGGTTTTATAATTAACTCACTTTTTTTTTTACTTTTTCATAAATCTTGATCCTAAAGCTTTTATTTTTAAAACTTAGTTTTTTTTTCACAAATAAATTTTTCGAAAATTTTTTAGCTTCCAAAAAACTCTACTTTAACAGAAAATAAGTTAATTATAAGTTCGCCTTATGTTTGGTTTTTGTCATACGCAATGAAGGAATGTAAATCAATTCGCTTAATCCAAACAATTTTTAAATTTATATGAAATTATATTATATTCAAGATAAATTTTATGTACAAAAATCTTTTTTTTTACATATAGAGTATTCCATAAACAACGCCAGTAAACTACTTTTTTAAAATTCTTCTTAAAAGTAAATTTGAACTATTAGTCGTGTTAGCTGTCACAAAATAACATTAAGGGGAGGAAAAATATAGTGAAATCTGGACCAATAATTTATGAGGTAGGAGACATTCAAAATATTGAAAAAAGTTTAAATAGCAGAATTAAAAGAAAATAATTTAAAAGCAATTAGAAATATTTCTCAAGAAATACTTTAGAGGTGTTTAGATCATGGAATTTCTCATACTTGTAAGAAAGTTTTAAGACTTTCAAAGGTTTAAGAGACAGGAAATAAATTACGAACGAAAAAAAGTATTTTTTAAACACCTTATGCCAGAAAATAAACCAACAAGGTAATAACTTGCACTGACTACATTGGTTGTTATTTGCAATAATTGCATAAAATTTTGTTAACCCTTACATATTTATGGAAATATTAATCTTTTTATAAAATACAAACTTTTTTGTTTTAAATTTTTTGGCTGCAACTTCGCAAATAATCAACAAAATTTAGCAAAATTTTCGGAACTATATTCAATTAATATTAAAATTGCTATTTTAAAGTTTATATAAGAAAATTGTTAAAAATATGAGCTTTAAAAGTAGTTCTTTCACTCTACACATCCGCGGAATAATTTTACCATAATTTTTATATATTTAGCATTTTTATATAATTAACATTTTTACATAATTAACATTTTTATATATTTATTATATATTCAACAAATAATTATGGGTATAATGCATTCTTTAAAAAGTAATTAAAATAGCGCCTCCACTCCAAACTTATCGTCATGTAGATTAGGGAAAAGATATATTACTTGATTGCAATCTTATCGTAACTCAGAAGATCAATTTCATCGTAATTGCTATTTCAAGCCAACCCAGAAGACAAGGAAACCCTTAATTTAGGCGCTGGAGCAAACTTTTTTTGTGAAAGGCCTTTAAGAACTGCGTTTGCGTTTCACGGAGAGGAAAACTACGAAGCTCTTCCGTGTTATTTTAACAACAATGGGTCACTAAACTTTTCTTTGAAATTTATTATCTAACTTCTTGAATTTCTTAACCATTGAGCGCCATTTAACAAATATTTAAATATCTACTATTTTTTGTGAATGTAATAATTTTTATTAATACTTCTATTAATTATTCCCTTAATATTAATATTTTTCTATTAATATTAATATTATTCTATTAATATTACTCTATAAATAATTTTTATGTGTTCTCTGAAATATAATATGCAATTGTAAATATGCAATTTTTTAAAAATTTGTCTACCATATTAAATTTAATGACAATTAAATGACTACCTAGGTGGCCCTATTACCTAGGAGGCACTAAATTTTCAGTGCTGATGTAATCCCAACGAATGATCAAAATAAACTTCTAAGTATTTCTTGAGAAATTCATAAAAATGACGAAATCTGAAAGTGTCTCTTCCATTATTGTAGGGTAATGTAGAGTATTGTAGGGTGAGGTAGTTTAAAATAATGCAAAAATGTACATACCTTACAATTAAAAATTTTAAAGACCATACAAAATAAAATAATAAAAATATGATTAAGAAAAAAATTCATGGAATTATCTTCAGATAAACGAATTTTATGACTGCAGGAAATTTTTTTTAATTCACTTTAAAAGTTCTCGAGATATAGCTAAAGTCACAAAAAGTAAATCAACATTAATGAACCCCAACTATCGACCGCTCTTCAGTTTACTAAGCTATTGGGGCCATATTTTCCAGACTGCTGCTATCCCTCGTATTTTGATAGTCAAAAAACCAAATTCATTGAATTTCTTCAGAGAAAAAACCTATCTGCGTAAAGTTGCGTAACGCAATTAATCGTTAGCATATTTGTTGTTTATGATTTTTTTAAATATTACATAGTAAGAAATTTTTAATCCTAAAGGAATGGTAGCATCTTTACTTGAATTCCCTAAATAACTATTATTGCGAAATATCTTCAAAAAGCTCGCATCGGATTCCCCTCCCCCCACTTATATGAACGGTGTCCATAAAAAAAATATTCCGAAGCATCGCGTAATGTTTAACTCAATTTTATAGAGATTAGATTAATATTTTGTTAAAGAGATTGAGTAGTCGAGCAAGTAATTTTACGAGAGCTGAACGAACTAAAAATTTTAAAGCTTGGATCTTCAATTCAAGATGATACTAATTTTTAATAAATTCATTTTAATATATTCGTTTTTAGTACATTTGTTCAACAATTTAATTAAATATAATTAAATCAATTAATTAAATATAATTATTTTAAAATCTTTAAAGGTCCTTTTTCTACTTTAACTTCTTTACTTTTTGTCCTAAAAATCCGTAAGCTCCTCTCTCCCACTAAAGGTAGAATTAATCATCTAGGTTACTCAAAATCGAGGTAAATCGGTTTTCCATTTGAGACCCTTTATCGTCTATGGCGTCATAAAGATTTGGCGAGTAATGACCTCCTTGATCAGGTATGTTTTTTCAATAGATTTCCTCCGTTTACTCCATCAATCATTCAGGTAGGAAAAATCTTTTTGGTGAAACCTTTCACCATATCTCGAAAACTTTAAAGCGAATTGAAAAATTTTTGCACACAACTATAAAATTCGTTTATTCAAAGATAATTCCAAGCAAAGTATAACTTTTAGTAAATATTTATTGTTTTTTATTATTTTATTTAATAATAGTCGAAAAGGATATTATATTTTAAGGCATAATATCTTTTACACGATTTTAAAGGATGTAATTTTACGTGACAAAAAGCAAAATTTGACTGAAATCAGTCGAATAGTTCCTGAGAAATCAAATTACGGGTTCTTAAAAATTCGATTTCTCGGGAACTGTTGGACCGATTTTGTTCAAATTTTGTAATTTGCCATGTAAAATTATATTCTTTACAGCTATGTACAAAATTGCATGGCTTACAATTCAAAACTTTTTCGACCATAAACAATAAGAGAAAATAAATATTTACTAAAAGTTATATTTTTAATGGAATTATCTTTGGATAAACGAATTTTATAATTGCGTGCAAAAATTTTTCAATTCACTTCAAAAATTCTTGAGAAATGGTAAAATACGCAAAAAGTAAAATTAACTTTAAGGGGTGCAAAATTTGGATCGTTCTCTTGACCAAACTATGAGGATTATATTTTCCAGATTACGGCTACCCCCTATATTTCGGGGGTCAGAAATCCTAATCAATCGAAAAAAGGGTGTGTTTATTCAAAGAAAGTGCGTTTTTATGTCTGATTTTGTAACTTAAAATATCGTCTGCGCTAATTATTTAGTATATTTGAGGTCACCCCCTCGAATCATTAAGATTAAATCCTAGAACGTGAAGAGCCGATCATTAGATCAAAAGTTATACAGGGTGGTACGTTTCTTATTTTGCGCACTGTATTACATAATAGGACGAATCGATTTTTACATTTTTTTTAATTGAAATCACCTGCGATAGAAAAAATTGTGTATTGGTATCAAATGCTGTAAAAAAAGAATTTTAAATCAAAATATAGATCTTTATAAATTGCCGAATTTTGATATTTTAATATTTTGAAGCAAAATTTTTATTAAACATATTTTAAAAAATTCAAGCCATTTTATACTTTTTTTTATTTTAGATAATAACATTGAAGTATTGTTTAGAATTAAACTAACTAACTAACTAACTCAGTGGCGCGACAGCCCATTAAGAGGGCCAAGGCCGACTGTGCCCATCTCAGTTTTCTTGACCTTGGGCTCTGGGGTGCAGGAGCATATGTTCCGGTCAGGTGGTCAGCCGAACGCTGGTTAAATTAAACGTAGCTGGCTAGAATTAAACGTAAAGTATAAAAGAAGAGCACTCAAGAACCGTTATCAAAAGGTTAAAACTATTCCACGCAGATTTTGCTGTAACTACGCAAACTGGCTGCATTCAAATTCCATTCTTATGCCCACCCAACTTTCTACCCAAATATCTGTAGGAAGTTGAGTTATTTATTTATTTTGTTATCTAGAAAACTACGTATTTTGCTTTGCGTATCTTTTACTGCATATTTTGCTTAATTTTCGAAGCTTGACATCAGTTCTGGAACGCCAATAGTGTGCTCATAAAGCCATTGTAACTTTTTGCTCCACAGCAAAATAAAGATGCTTCTGTCACTAACCTAACTGCTCTTTAGACAGTTTGAGTAATATACCTCAGGCTGTATGACAACTACTTAAGATATTTCAGCTATAATCTGAAATTAATAACTGATTCTAAAAAAAATGTATCTTTTTATAGTCATTCATAATGGCAAGATCCATGACAAACGATTTTATGAGAAGGAATTAGGTTTCAGAAGAATCTTGAAGACTCAAACTGCGCTTAAGGTACAACGTTATAATATCCGTTTTGCAAGGAAGACAGGAGTCATTATATCAAGCGTGGACTGTCATCTTCAAAAGCTCTCATCATCAAAGCTTTTATTTTAACCATTTAATTCAACGCTACTTAAAATACTAATTAAAACTTTCTGAAAGAAACATAATGTAACACATCTAACAGAAACAGTCAAGAATTGCCATTATCAAGGAGAAGACACAGAAAAAGTTCTTTAATGAAATCAAGTTATATACTGATGAAGACAGGTAATGGAAGCATGGATAAAGTCGGAAATGAACTTGTAACAAATTGGGAAGTATAGAATAGAAAATAATTACTTTAGAAATAATTACTTTGTGCTTTTAGGTTTGTCACAGAAATGCCGCATAATTATAAATTTAAACACGTTTTATGCTTGGTTAGGAAAAGCCTTAGGCATTTCTGCAGAAATGCAACACAGTAGTGACGAAATTATTATACTCTAGCTAATTATAAAAATTTATTCTTTTAACAAAAATTTTATCAAAAACGCAATGAGAAATACCACAACATTAATCTAATTCACAGCATAATCTGGTTTTACATGACAGAACATAATTAAATTTATTTTTATTGATATACAGGATATTTGAAATTCGAACAAAATATAAGTTTAAAATATATATAGCAAGAAATGCTCATAAAATTTATCCTATCTACAGGAATATTACATAGAAGTAATGATACAAATAAACAAGACAATATAGGCAAGAACTATCATCAGTGTGGAAGCATAATTCTGTACGATATAGAATTTAGTTAAGCAAACAAGTTTCCTGAAGACAAAAAAGAGAATTAGAGTAAAAATTATTTTAAAAATAAGCTGTAAAAGTTATTAGCATTGCTAAATTAGACTAAATGAAAATAAAAAGTACAAATACAAACCTGGTTGTAAAAAATCATCTGAGACTTCGATATCTTGAGCATAACTGAAGCTAACACTGCTTTCATCAGAATCTCTGTTTCCATATAAAATTGTGGCATGGAATTCAAATAATTCTTCCCCTGTTACAATAATACACAAAAGAAAATTTATTTGCCATACTACATTTTTAGGAACTTTTTTTTTAGGGGGGGGGGAATTACCTAAAAATGTTTGCGTTGAAAATTAACAGCTAAACGCATTTAAAAACAGCAAATATCTAACTTAAAATTAAAAAAAATAATTTGACCAAACATAATAAAAAATAGTGTTTTTATAATGGCTAAAACTCATCAAAAGCAATTTAAAAAATTAATAATGAGAAATTCCTTGAATAAGTTAGTACCATCTAAATTAAATTCTGATCAAGTAGCAGATGCAAAAATAGAAATGTTTTTCTTTATGAGTGCAACAAATATTCTGCTTCTAAGTCTTTTAGCTAAATTTTATCTTATATTTATTGTTCTGTTACTTTAGATCATATATCATCCAAAATATTTTCTCATACTCAGGTAAATAAAATATGATTATGCAAAATAGATTTCCATTAAATTTACAAAAATAGAAATAAATAGTTAAATTCTAATTCAATATTTTTTTCAATTTCCACCGGAAAACTATGTTTATCAATATGAGAAAAATCATCAATATTTTTATTCACATTAAAATAAGAAGTGTAAGATGGTAGCTTAAGTGATTTTACCTGTGAGCTTTTCAACAAAATTTGAAGGAACTAAACCCTTTCTTCCATCTAAAAGTTCACCATTGAAAAACCCATCCTACAAAATAAATACCTTTCAAATGTGAAAATACTTTAAACGAATAAAATATAAATAAGAAGAGATCAACTGCGTAAGAAATAATTTAATGTAAGAATATATATTTCGGTATTAGATTTAAATTGTATTGAGTAGAGATGTACCGGTCCTAAAATTTTGTCGAATCCGAGTACCCGGTGAAAATTGAATCTTCTCTCCAGCCGGTTTGTTCCGGGTACACGGCACAAATTCTATTTGTTACCCGACTTACTCCGAATACCCGGTAAAATTTTTATTTATTATCCAGCAGTTCCAAGAAACCAGCCGGGAGGTAAAATATTTATGCAAAACAATATAAAAATTTTACAATTTTCTATCAAAGCAATAATTTACTAGATATAAAATTCTAAAGAAATCCAATTTGTGCTTAAATGAATAAAGACATGTTGTTTTTAGATTTTTTTTAAAACTAAATTTTAAAGAAAAGGTTCTCAAACTCAGCTTTCAACTTTCCTCAACTTTTTAAATGATCTAAATCTTTGCTATGAAGTGGAGATATCTGCTAATAGGGGAATATTGGACTAAATAATTAATTAATTTTTCATTTGATATACTTAAGTTTTCAACAGCATTTAGTAATTCAGTTATTGTTAAACGTAGGATATTTTAATACTATTATAATACAATAACAGTAAGTTGAAATGAAAAGGTTTGATTTTTAATCATCCGATACTTATAACATAATTACTCTCTTAATACAATCTAAAAAACTTTTCGATAGTCAGAGAGAAATTTTATATTATAACCATTGTTAAGTCAGAGACATTTTGCAAACGTTACGATTCCATCTTACAACAGTTATTTAGAACCCCAAAAGTTAAAATAACTCCTTAAATGAAATAACAAAAGACATGGGGCAAGTTTTCTTTCTTGAAAAACTGTGGGGCCGGGACAGCCTGGTTGGTAGGGCGATGAGTCCAAGAGGTTGTGAGTTCGATTCCCGCCGGCTGAAGACTCCCCGTGTAGTAAATGGTTACAGGTGCACGTTAAATCTGTCGGGTTACAAAGCTCTTCATGTTCCCATAACAAGTCATGGCTCTGGGGGAAATTGGAGATTGATCGTTCTCTGACTCCGGTCAAAATTACGATCTATGTATGAGTGGGTCCGCCCTATAAACAGGCAGTGACGTGTACGTGGTTAAAGTCGTATTATTGGCCATAAATGGCACTACCAAAAAAAAAGAAACGCACCCTCTGCCTTAAATTTGCTTGGAACAGGCTTGCTGATATTGGCAAATGTCATTAGAAACAACAACAAACAACCCAAACTTTTTTCTATGAAACTTACCCGTATTTGCGTATCTAGGAGAAAAAAAATCCATGTTTAAACCGACAAGAACTTTATCTTTACATTTATTTTATCTTTGCAGGTTTTACTCTAGGAGGACAATAATTAAATAAAATACGGTAAAGTATTTACCTCATCCATTTCACCATAAATAATAACATAATCTCCTGCATTTAATAGCAGTTCTGCTTCTGGATTTTCATTAGGAGATTGCTTTAAAGGATCGTATGTATAACGTGCACAGTATATGTGACACCGTCCTCGTCCTGGAAGTTCTATGAAATCAATAGAATCAAGCATTTCTTCTTCTGTAAGGGCAACTGGAAGCAAAATTTTATTTATTAGTCTCCTTTCCAAATATATTAAAGAACTTGGTGTGAGGTAATAGATGAAACGGGAATCTATTCACTAAAAAGTGTACCCACGAAGCAAATGACATCACATTTTTCGTAATTCAGGTTTCTTAGCACAACTTCCAAAAATTAGAAAAATATAGTTTGTAAACGGAAGAGAGCTATTTATGGTTTAAAACGAAGTTGCAAACAGTGGAATACAGAGTCAATAACTTACATACAACTTGATTTTGAGAAATTACTTTAATTAAAATTACTGCGTATAGGAATTAATATCTTACGAATAAATTGAGAAGCTTGGTGCAAGAATCAGTTAAATGTAAATTTTCAACAAAATAAATAAACAGATAGGTAATGCATAAATAAAAATAAATGAATAATTTAACGTAATTTTGGCTGTGAACAATATGGCTGTTTCTTTAAAAACAGCAAGAGGGCGCAAATTAACATCTGCAACCACCTAAAGTGAATTAAATGTGAGTAAAAAATGTAATAAAAATAACTTATAGCTTAAATGTAATAAATATTACTTATAGAACTCTAATTGAAAGTTTACCCTTCTTAGCTAATAAAAGTAGACTTGATATCACATTCTTAATAACTATTTTAATATAATATTGTAATAGTTGATTATATTCCTATTAATAAATGGTCAGCAACTTGATTTACTGAATAAAATGTTTAATACCACGAATTTTAAGAATAATTTAGCAAATATCTATAGTAGTAACATACTAGCTTTTTATGCAAACGGTAGATGTCATTTAGCTGACACTCATCTAGTGGGCACATAATTGATTTTGCTGGCATGAATAACTACAAGGGCTGTTTTTTAAGTAAGGGCAGTTTGAAAATAAAAACCAAACGAAGGAAAATTTTCATGAAGCAAATTTACTTTTTGATTCTACATACGTTTCTCTCTCTCTTTTTTTTCAAAATAGTTTCCAAATTTGGTTAAACACTTATCATACCTTACAACTAGATTTAGAATACCCTCTTCATAGTAACTTGTCGCCTGCTCCAATAACCAAGAGGTCACAACCGTTTTCACGTCTTCATCATAGTTGTTCTAGCTCCCTCTAAAGTGATGTTTGTAACATCGGAAAAGATAAAAATCACTTAGCGCAAGGTCTGGGCTGTATTGAGGGGTGGTCCAAAACGTCCTATCCAAAAGAGCTCGAGACTGAGGTGTGGAGAGAGTCATTGTCATGGAGTAGCAAAATTTCTTGTCAGTAGGAAGTTTCGTAAACTTCACGAATCTGTCGGTGAATGCATGCAGCAGACAGGTTCTTTGCCAACGTATCACTGACAGAACCTCATACGTGGTGGGCAATTTGCTAGAATTGAACATTTTAAAGACCATTCGTTGAGACGCACGCCTCACCTATTAGTGTGAACAACAAAACGGCCCTTACTTAAAAAACTGCCCTCGTAGTAAACAATTCTACCCAATATCCGAAGATATTCTACCCATTATGCGATGATAATGACGAAGTTTAAAGAAAACTAAAAATCCCAACTCCACTGACCAGCAGCAAAAGTATATTGCATTTTGTTTCATGGAATCAGAATTCCTATCTTCAATTGTTGGAAGAAAATTATTCCAGTTTAGACATGTAATAAATACAGATAATATAACTAATTTTCTCATGAAACCTTTATGTGTAGAGAGCTTCACATCAGGCTTAGTTCATCACATTATTTAATTTCAATACATTAAGTATTTTATGATGTTTGTGCTTGGTGTCTCTCGTGCAATTAAACATTTAACCTACAAGCCTATATAATAAAATGTATTTTTTTCATAAGAAAAAAAAATTATAAAAGGCGAGCCATACCATCGGATTGAATTCTTTGGAAAGGATGAAGTAAAGAAGTGGCAGAAGCTGAAGCAGTAAGACTTTGAAGAGTAAAAGAAGGATCTCTTAAATTACCTAATGATGGACTGGGTGAAGGTAGACCATTATTTGTCATGAAAGTTTTCTTGCTTAGTGAAGTTTCTAAAAAAAAAGAACCATTGATTTAAATGTTTCTCGGCAAATCTCTCACAGATAATTTTATATTAGTTTTAAAGAATCTAAGAAGTTAACAAATCTTTCCACAAAAAAAAAATATTCATAAATATGCTTGGGAAATATTGCACAAGAATTTAGAAATGATTTAATACAAAATGTTTCACATTTTTTGATTATTATTGTATTACATTTGCTATTGTTTCATATTCTAACTTTTTCTTCTCCTTCTTCAAAGGCACTACGTCTTGTTTTAGGCTAGAGATCACTATTTACCCTGTAAGTGACTAATAACTACGTGAAAGTAGAATACGTGACATAGTAAAGTGAATATATCAATGAGTAACAGATTGCTTAAGCTTGCTTCACACCTAATTTAATTATTTTGTCTTGATTAATTTCAGGAAATTTGTATCTATATAACAGTGTATAACTGTTAATGATACTTCAGAGACAATGCTAGGTACTTATGAATATCTTACCTAAAATGTTTCTTTTTTTATCCAATTCAGCTAATATTCTATTATCTTGTTCTAGTTTTGCCATAAGTTGATCTAATTCATGTCTGGTAACAGATTGTTCTAGAAAATGAAAACGGATAATTGATATCATTAAAATACATTAAAAATTCATTTTAAATAAGTCATTATCTGAATTCTTTAAAAGTATGTATAGCATATTTCTTGCCATCATTATTGTCTTGTCAAATCATATAATATGAATAACACTTTCTGATCAAAAACCTGATAATTTTTGACACTCTAAGAAATATACTACAAAACAAACCGAAAAAATCCTGGTGAGAAAATAGAAAAAATGGAGTTTCAGAAATAAAGTATAAAGCATTTTTTTCTGCCTGTACTGCATATTTATTATTAACCAATTAAATGTAATTACCAATTAAATGTTAATAGAAATTTAATATAGAAGAGAACATCGTCTGCACACTTTTATTCTCAGTGCCAGGCCTCATAGTGGGTTAAGCAAATTAAGAAATTTTTTCAAAAAAATTGGGACATATTTTGGTGCAGTTTTCAATAACCAGACTACTTTTATAAATACAAAGGACAAACTAAAAAAATATAATGAACTTAAGAATAAGGAAAGCATATTTTATCGAAAAATAATAACAGAATATACAATTTTTAATTTCATAGTTATTTTGTATAGAACAGAAACAGTTTACAGAATAAATAGAGTATTGAACGATTCATAGTAGTTTATATCAAATAGTAGTTAAATGAATAGAAATATTTACAGTACTGTTGTATTAAAAAAATAAAGTTCATGAAAGAGAACACTCGAGGGTTATCAAAGAAAAAACTATTGCATAGCTGTATCGGTGTAGAAAATCAACGAATTTAATTAAACTCTTTTCAATTGTTTAGTTACTGTTGTATAAAATTGCTCCAGAATGGACAGCTAGATTGATCTGTTATTGATGTAGAAAATCAACGAATTTAGTCAAGCTCTTCTTAATTGTCCAGTTACTGTTTGATAAAATTGTTCCAGAGCGGTAAACTATTTGAAATATATAACCTGAATTTTTCAGAGTGCCTCTTTTAAGCAAAAGTAAAACAAGGAAAACATAAAAAGAAACAATATTTGTGACAAATTGACCCAAGCTGTAATGAGAAGGTACATAGTAAAAGTTAGGAAAAAACAATAAATTGAAGACGATCTTAATATTGAAAATAAATTATTGATGAAACACAATAGGCACCACAACAATGGTCATCGCAAATACATTGAAACAAACTGTTTTTTCCACAAAATGCAGGATCATTTCTAACACACATTCAAATGCAAACTACAAAAAATGAACGAAGTGTGGGATCTGAACTAAGGATATCAATTGAGGAAACACAATATTTAGATAATGTAATTGCGATAGTGCATTCTGAATTGTGTATAAGAAAATAAATAATTAAAATATTGTTGTAAATATCGGTGAGTTTACTATTGGAGGTGAACAAGAAATTCAGGGAGGAGAAAAAATAAAATTCGAGCAAGAAGATCATATTTGGCTGATGGACAAGATAGCTTTTTCATCAATGAGACAATCAAGAGGCATCCCAAGAAGTGTCATAAATCATATTGACTACTGAGTGAAATACATCATATTGATCATTCAATGATGTAATATTGATAAAAACGAAAAACCTTTCACCGAAGTTCAGATTTTTACATATTTTGATTTCTCCAAATAGAATAAATCTATCCTATCGACTTTGTTGCTGTTGTAGTTCCTTTATGTCGCACTATAGCTGCACAATGACAAGACAGGCCATCGCAATTTTGATCCTCTTCAGAGAGGATGGCACCCTCACTTCGGTAGCCCGACGACCTGCATGCGAAGTCGAGCACTTTCCAGCAGAGCAGTTTAACGAGGACCAATACCACGTACCCTCGGACCCTGCGCAGACTGATTCAAGTGGTCACCCACCCACATACTGACCATAGCCAGTGATGCTTGACTCCGGTGATCTGCTGGGAACTTTGTTTTCATTCATTCATTAATCATTTACTTGATTTTTTCATTTACTAGAGTCCACTGCGGGACTCAAGTAAAGGAAAAAAAAAATTAAATAGATTATCATTTTTATAGTCACTCACTCAAAAAAAGAAATAAAAGTAAACAGACTTAACATTGTTAAGTCTAGCGAAGTCTGCTGGGGAAAAAAAGGATTACGGATGAATTCCCGTGTATCAGACTCTCCTATAAGGATCAATAACACTACACGTGATTTACGATCTTTTGGTGAGTTTTTAGTGAATTCGATTGGTGATTTTTTTCTCGGAAGAATATTTTTAACCAATCAGGTTCTCCTTCTCGCTCGATGGCAGTTGAAGGGGAGTGAATTACACGTCGTGAAAATGAAATTCACGCACTTCACTCCCGTATTTCGAGATTTGTGTGTCTTCAATCCCAATATTTTTCAAAATCAAAAATCCCAATATTTTTAATATAATATTATATTAAAAATATTGGGATTTTTCAGAAAAAATATGCGAAAAGAGAGGTAATGACTGTTGAAAATCAATCGAAGAAACTGTAGAATAATCGCGTCAGAAAGTGAATACTCAAAGGAGAGATTCGATTTTCCCATATCGTGATAATATCCCATGAAATATATCGCGTTCTTAAGGAACCCATTATAAATCATTAACAATAACCTCCGATCCAAACATCACGAAGATAAACAATAAAATCGGAGAAGATCGAGTACTTCAAAGAGTGAATACTTAAACACTTGATTCAAATTTCACGTGTCGTAACAATACGATATTAAAAATATTGGAATTTTCAAAAACCATCCGAAAATTTCTTGTAATAAATTCTATAAGGATTATTAAAACAACGCATGGACTTATCGGCGCAAATCGAGCGTGTCGAAACGTGATTTTTCAAATAGGTGATTCGAATTTCGAGTGTCGTAACAGTATCGGAATTTTAAATAAAATCATAAGAATACCAATAATAGATTTGTGATTTGCAGCTATCCACGAATTAACGATCTAAAGATTCGCAGAATTCAGCAAATTAGTAAAAAATGAAAATCACATGCCTTTGTTAGCTTTGGTCCAGAAAAATATATTAGCAAATGATAACTTTTCAGAGAGAGAAGACGCGTTAATTTGTGCAAGGAGGCAGTGTTTTCTTAGTTAGGAGTTGAGTTCCTTTTGTAATGATGATCCAAAACAGGATGACATTTTAACTGTGGGCTTTCACTAGGGCATTTCATTGAAATTTATGTTAGTATTTGATAATAAATTAATTTATCTATGAAGATATTAATAAATGTATTGAAAAGAGATAATAAAATTAGATATATTTACTTATTGATGTTACATGCAAAGGTCTTTCCTTGTTCTCCTTAGTAGCTGCTCCCACCAATGGCAGATCTAATAACAAATTAATGTAGTGATATAAATATATATACTATTTCAAGATATATTATAATCTAACACCATTCATTAACGAGCATTCTTGGATATTCGTGTCATTATTCAGTTTAAACAGTTAAGATAATGTTGGATCAGACGCCATTAGAAAATATAATTTTCGCAGTTGAAGTAGAATTAAATCAAATTAAAAAAATGGAAATCAAAATAAAATTGTTGATAGAAAGCAAATGACATGAAGAGAGAACCATCAGGCTAGGAGAAAAACCAATATATTTTAAGTGATTGTATTTGTTTTTTAAGAAAACGTTGAAAAGGGGGTCCCTGCATTTTTTGATGCAAATAAATATTATAATTTACATAAAAAAGGGCAATGTTTTTAATATTCCTTTTGTTAAACAATACAATATATATTTGATAAAGCAGTTTGAAGAAGTAAATACATCTTTTTTTTGTTACTGAGATATATGTGGTACCTTGTACAGTGAGCAAAAAAAAAGGACCACGCTGAATAACTTTTAATCAAATGATCGGATCTTCACGCGCTACACGTTCTAGGATTCAATCTTACTGGTTTGATAGGGTGACCTCAAATATGCTAATTAATTAGTGCAGACGATATTTTAAGTTACGAAACCAGACACAAACAAGTACTTTCTTTAAAATAACTTAAAAATAAAATTTGTTGGTTTCTTACAATTTTGTATAGTTTATACATGATTATTAAAAACTTGAAATTCTAAAATAACTTTTAATTTGCAAGGTCTTGTTGAAAAATTATCCAATATTTTATAGTTCCGCTTATTTATTCACCTCTAAGGCTTTAACTTTTTCTCCGTTGCTTTTAAATACACAAATTATAAATGTCCCAAGAAAGAATCTTAACTGTCACAGAACGCTCTTCGTTCTCCTCCAAAATGGCTGTAAGAAAAGGATCACGTGACGGATGTGACTCCGATGTTTAGGAAGAAGAGATGGAGATCTAAAACAATCTACTTGTTCTGACCACATTGTCACAATCATAGCGCTGTTCAGAAAATTGTGAAGCCCTAATTTCGATGACTTAGATCGCCTTGATTAAGCTGAATTTTACTTCTCTAATCGATTGATTAAAAAGCAATTTAAATAATTTTAAAAAAAGGGTTACGAGTATTGCACTTTAACATTTTTATCAATTGTAAATTAATATACGGTTCCTCCATTTGCAATTTTGACTAGGTTATAACTACTGAATTATTAATTTTAAATTGTTTTTAAGTAAATGGTGAAGAGTTTAATCATATTTAGGAAGAAAACTTAAAATTAAATCATAAGATTTGTTGCTACATTCACTAATAAATTATTCACACTCTCTTAAAATCGCGATAGGGTAATAATTTTATTAAAAAATTCTTAAAACCACAAATCTAGTAAGATATATAAGAATAACTTATTTCCTGCAATTGGAGAATGGTCCCTCAGTTTCAAACTTTAGCACTTTAGAAGTTCAATTGAATTTTATGTGAATGAAATGTTTCAAATAAAGAATAATGAGTTTCATGCGTTGAAGCTCGGTCATTGGTGACTGCCCTCTTAGAAATATCTATTAATGTATGATCCCATATTTCAAAGAATGCGGCTTCATGAAAAGTGGTTTTCTAATGACCATGAGAGGGACACACGCCAACTAAAAAGTTGTCTTAAAATTATTAGATTTTTATTTCTGTTGGAGAAAACTAAATTTTTCTGAAGATCTGGAGAGCAAGTGATGTAACCAGTAATGAGCAACAATGAGAACCTCTGTGTACCAACCATCTCATGAATGTTCAGTGCGCAAAAAAAAAGAAACACCTGAAATAAATTTTGATTTTATGATCGGATCTTCACGTTCTAGGACTCAGTCTTTAGTGGCTTGAGGGGGTGACCTCAAATATGCTAATTAATAAATGCAGACGATATTTTAAGTTACGAAATCAGAAGCAAAAACGTACTTTCTGTGAATAAGTGCAATTTCTTTTCGGCGGAATCAGTTATATGACCCCAAAAATATTAGGAGTAGCCGCAATCTAATGAAGTATGGTCGCAATAGTTTGGTCAGGAGAACGCCTCAAAGTTTGGACCCCTTTGTAGAAACTATTGGTTGCGACAGCTGAGATAGCATGAAAAGCCGAGGTAGAAGGATCGAGTATTGGATCGAAGACCGAAGGTAGGAAGACGAACCGGAATAGTTCCTGCGCGAATGAATTCTGGCGGAGGAGCACAACCGGCAGCCAAGGCAGGGATTGAAGAGGCTGATGTCCAGTACTTAAGGCAAACTCTTGATGGTTTGTTATCTTTTACTGTTAAAGAGGATTTTTCATTGCCATATTGTTTCATTTGACATCTTAAATTCCCATCACCGAAACTTATACACCCTTAATGTTAATTTAACTTTTTACGTATTTCGCTATATCTTGAGAACTGTTTAAGCGAATCGAAAATTTTTTGAACGAATTTGTATTTTACGGTGCAAAATAATGTTCTTTAAGATGATGAAAAACATTGTATTCCTTTCAATTCCAAATTTTTTCTACCATTCTTAAATAAAATATTAAAAAACGATAAATATTTACTAAAAGTTATTTTTTTCACGGAATTACGTTTGGATAAACTAATTTTATAATTGTGTGCTAAGATTTTTTTTAATTTGCCTAAAAAAATTTCTCGCGATTTATCGAAATACGCAAAAGTAAAATTAACATTAAGAGGTTTAAACTTTGGAGCGCTCTCCTGACCAANATCGTCTGGATTTATTAATTAGCATATTTCAGGTTACCCCTTCGAGCCATTAAGATTGAATCCTAGAACGTGAAGATCCGATCCTTAAATCAAAGGTTAGTCAGTGTGGTCCATTGTTTTGCCACACTGTATATATCAACTTACCAACTGTTCCTCTAGATTTCTCAAGTTCTGCTAAAATTTGGTTATCTTGTTCAATACGTGCTAAAATCCTATTAATTTCACTATTGGTATTTTCTGAAGGTGTTTCAGAATTTGTTTTGTTCTGATTGGCACAAGATGCAGAATTTTCTGTTTCTTTAATTAATGCAACTTCCGCTACAATAGGACCTAAAATAAAAATGCGTCTTTTAGCATTGTCTGCATAAATAGAAATAAAATATTTAAACTAAAAATGGTTACTTATAAGGAATGTTCTAACAATTCCAAATCACGATGATTTTGCAATATAAATACAATACACGTTGATATGCAAGAAAAATAGGGTCTCTTTCATTTAGGTTAGGTTATGAAAATATTTGCTTTTAAAAACACCAATTTTAAGAAAACAGTTTAAACAAAAACAGATTTGCCAGCTTCCCTTATTATATAAATCAGATTGAGGCAAAAATGTAATTTATAGAATCAGGGAATATGATTAATCATAGCTTTGATTATAATTATAGTCCTGATAACATGTTATTATAATTTCAATAGTAGCAATCATATCCAGATTACAAATATTTATGTTTATAAATAAGCATGATCTAGGATTACTTAGCTTGCAGTCAAGTTTCAAATTTTGATTATTCTAATCATAATAACAGTGTAATTGCAATCAACTTATGATTCTGATTACAGCAATTGATTGCCATACGAAAACACTAAAACGCTATTGATGATTAAATTGTGTATAAAGTTGGCTAGAAGTAATTGATAAGGATTCTATTAAACAGAATAAAAAGCCTAAGCGAGAGCCGTTAGAGGCGATCATACACCCTAACATGTCTAAAGTTTTCCTCTGACTGACGAGGTCAGATGCTGTGCTGGACAAGTGACCTGCTTCCTTATTTAGAGTATAGGTTGCACCCATTTTTGTTTTCTTATATTTTTGTCTTATGTATAATGATATTTTGGCATGGTTTCATTTCATTTGCTTTTTCAGTTTATTTTTATTGCAAAAAAATATATTTTTAATTGTCTTCACCAGTATATTTTGCATTTAAGTGAAAAGTTTATTTTCAAGACATTTTATTTCATCACAAAACAGTTTGTTTGTAACAAAAAAAGAAGGATGGAATATCTCATTTTCGAACGTCCGAGTCAGAACATCTTGGAGCGACCTCCATAGACTCCAAGTCAGAGAACTCACCCAATATGCCAAGAAAGGCCGTTGAAATGCTAGGCATGCTCCCGGCTATTATTTTCAATCAACTTTTATAGTAACTAATTGGTTAGGCCATAAATAACTTCCAGTACTTTCAATAACACACTATGATGTTTGAGGAAAATTTTATAAACTGTACAGACCTTAACTTATAACCTAAATTATCTGAAAGCGCATTTATATTTTTTTTTCATCAAAAATTAATTATATAAGAAATTGAAATATTTTTTAAAATTTATTTTGTATAGTTTATTATATAAAAGTAAAAGAAATTACATTTTTATTTATTATTTTGGTTAAACAGTTAACCCTTCACTGCGCCCCTTTGCATATTTGCAAAGCTAAGAATATATATGATTTTCGCTGCTGCCTCTATAATTTAACATTGAAAACTGTTTCGCGCATAGGAAGGAAAAGGATTGACCACCTATCTGTGCTAGTTTCAATATTGACGAATATAATTTTATTCCTTGTGTAGCTTTGTAAGTTCGGCGCCTACTGTCATTTCGGTAGGAGGGATAATTGATTTGGTGTTCATTATTGCAATTTAAATCTTCAGTCATTTCATTTCTTATATTTCAGTTTTTATATGATTTTTGATGATTTTGTGTTTGTATTTGCAAAGATTCTATTTTTTATATTTACGATGGGTATCAGCGAATTTATAACATTGCACACTCAGTTCAATAGGTATTGAGAGTGAAAAAAATGCTTTTTCCCCCAAGGAAAATTTTAGCATTTTTTTCTCCATTTTCCTGCATTCATTGAACAATCCTACTTACTCCTATATTTCAATTTTATGTGATTTTTGATGATTTGTGTATATTATGGCAAAGATACTATTGCTTATATTTGTGTTGGGTATCAGTGAATTTATAACACTACATATGAAAATTATTATTACTGTTCCACCTTTAAAAGCATGGGGTGAAGGCTTAATTTTTGCACAGAAAGCAATTATTAGATATTTTAATACAATGGCTTTTACTCAGAAAAATTTAAATCTGATTTAAATATATTCTTCGATATTTTAAAGTAATTTTTTTTTATTAAACTTAACTAGCGTGCTCTATAACCTTTCCTTCAGGATGCTTACAGTGCAGAAATCACTAATGATTCAACCTATAATTAGCTTTCATTTATCAGCTCAATTGGTAGACTTAAGCATCAGTGGCTCAGGGGATAGAGCGCTCGCCTCCAAATGAGGTGAACCGAGCTCAAACCTCGGCAATGACGGTTTGATTCAAATTCCATACCCGGCTCGCATCGACTACAGTGCTGGCGTAAAATATCCTCGGTGGTAGACGGATCATGGGTTAAAGTTCCGTTGCCATCAGGCTAACCGTCTGAGGTTTTCGAGGTTTTCCTCTCCATGTAACCCAAATGCGGGTTAGTTTTATCAAAAAGTTTGTTCAAATTTTTCCCAATAATTAACCCAAGAGCTCTCTTGTCTTCTGAATTGGGTTCAAAATTACAAGGAGTTTAACATTGGTAGTCGTAAACTGAAAATTTCATTGAGTGTTCAACGACAGTTATAAATTATAAGAACGAATAAAATTTTCAGATTTGTAGAATTGTCATTAAGTTGTGACCATAAAAGTCTGTCTTGCTGTGATCCATAAATACTGTTATACATACAATTTAAAAACCCTACATTTCAATTTCATGCATAATGATGAAAAAACGTACCTTCAATACTGTATTTCACAGATGTGATTGGTTGATAAGATTCTTTAGGGGCTCCAGCTACAGATTGTACAACAGTTTGGACACTTTGATCGGATACGATTTCTAGAGAAATCTATTAAAAATACACTTTTATTAGCCTCTACATTTTAATCAGTTACGATTTGTTGAGAAATCTATTAAAAATATACTCTTATTAGGCTTTACATTTTAATCAGTTACAATTTGTAGAAAAATATATCAAAAATGTTGAAAAAACTAATTTATTTTTTTTCGTATTAACCTTAGTAATGAATCCATTTAAGTTCATATCTTTGCATCAAAAACGTTGCTTTTTTAGAGTCCAGTGAAAACACTTGTTTAAAACGCATTGAACAAGTACAAGAAAATACCTACTTTTATTACTTATGACTAAAAAAAGAGGGGGCAACTTGATATATTAGTTGCATACCTTAAAATAATAGTCGGCGAACTTCGAGAAAAACGCATTTCATAATTTAAGCCTACTTTATAAACTAGCTTAATCTTCCTTCTGATGTGGTCGTCCATTGACTTGCCTATCAACGAGACGTGCAATGGATTGTTTTATCTCTCTCTTACTTTTTTTCCCTTTTCTACAAATAGTTTATATATTATTTTATTGTCAAATTATTAAATTTTTCCTGATATTTAAATTACAGAATTAATTCTTTTCTCAATAAAATAATAATGGCTTATATAATATTTTTAAATAATTAAATTTTTATAAATTAACTTTATTATAGATTTGTTTTATGACCTGAATTTCTATTATCAAGAAAAAATTACACATAACACAAAAATTTATTTCGCATCTTACACAGTCAATAAGGATGATTATTAGCATGAACAATGTTTTTTAAGTTGAGATGTTGAAAAACATACTTCATTAAGATTTAAAAAATGATTTCTGAATATTTTGAAAGTTGAGAAGTGTAATAATAAGATCTTCTCATTTTATTTAAAATTGGCGATGGTGATGGACTGATATTTTTATTTTAATCCAATTTTCCCGAGAACTTATTTCTCGATTTTGTTCAATTAACGTATGAAAAATCCTCTAAAAATTTTAATAGATTTTTTCCTGTATATGAAAATAAATGTCACAACGTTGTACCGGGAAAGTACTTTTGGAGGAATCACTTTGAAATCTAATTTTCTAATTATTAAAAACACTGCACATATATAATATTATTTTTACCAATATCCTTTTATAGAAAGATATGTTTATGTAATTATGTTATGTCATGTAATTTAAATGCCACGTTATGTCTAGTAACTAAAAAGGAATACACCAAATTGAACAAAAAATTATATTTAAATTTATGCTATTTTTAAGCAAAACAAACTTTTTATTTAAGTTAATGCTATTTTTAAACAAAAAATTTTTACTTAAAAAGGCAACAAAAAAAGTGCTGCATTTTAAATGTCGGTAATATTTAATAATAAAAAATATACAGTAAATAAAATAAATTAATAATGTTAGCAAGCGGAATAAAATTATTTATTAGGAAAAAAAGCAAGAGAAATTGAAGAATCCATAACAGGTTTCAAATACTAAGCGGATTTAGGCAGGTTCCATACTACCACTTCACCATTACCTTTAACTAATATATTTAACTGATATATATATTTAAGTATGCTTAAATTTACCAAATACGTTTTTCTCGGGATAATATCTCGGGCTAGCGCGCGTTTAAATTATTTTAGTCAGGCTAGAGCGCTTTATTGTTATGTATATAAGGGGATTACCCTTACTGTACGTATATTACAAGTTTTTTGGGCGTGGTGGCTCAGGGGATAGAGAACTCGCTTCTCAATGAGGTGATGATGAATGACGACCCAATGTTGAATCCCAGCAATAGCTGGTCGATACGAATCCCGCACCTGGTCTACACCAGCCTCAATGCTGTCTTAAAATCTCCTCATTGGTTGAAGAATCATGACTTAGAGTCCCTTTGCCGTCAAGCTAACTATGGGAGGTTTCCGTGGTTTTCCACTCCATGTAACGCAAATGCGGGGTAGTTCCATCAAAAAGTCCTCCATGAAGACAAATTTCTCTCAATACTTGACCCAGGAGTTCCCTTGTCTTCTGGATTGGGTTCAAAATCACAGGAATATGGAGTTGAACATAGGTAGTGGCAAACTCAAAACTGGGTCGGCTGCTCAATGACGGTTATAAAATAAAATATATACCAAGTTTATCACAAAGTGTTTTTTCCAAGTCGTATCCTCTTTTTGTAAATGATTTTAAAAAATTCTGCAAATACTTTCAATTTCTAAATAAGGTATAATTTTTAGTAAACAAAACAGTCGAAACACTATTCGATTTTAAAAAACACTATTTTTCTTAGATTTATTTTTTTATTAAAAAGAGCGCTATTTTTTAAGAAAAATAGCGTTTTTTTANAAAAAAAAAAAAAAAAAAAAAACTTTAATATAGTTGCTAATTATTTGAATTGTTTTACTCACAGTTCAATGGTTATACACTTGAAAAATTTGAAAAATTTATTTGTATAAGAGCCCGATTAAATGATAATCTCAATTTACCAATATACCAATCTACTACTCAAGGCTGTGAGGGGCGGATAATCGGGGTTCTACTGTACTAAGTTTAACCACTAATATAAAAAAATTCCACAAATACTTTCAATTTCTCAATAAGGTATAATTTTTAGTAAGCAAAGACAGTCGAATTTGCACTGACGCGAATGAGGAGAGATAATATTATTTTAGAGTTTTTTTCTTAAAATTTTTTTTTCTTAAAATTTACTTAAATCAATTTCATACTTTGATTGGAAGAGAGAATAATACTCACAGGTTCTTGTGTCGACGATTGAAAGCTTTTTTTTCTTTGTAATGTTTGTATTTCTAAGTTCAGTTCTTCTCGAAGAACGCTTTCTAAGTCACATTTTTTTCCTAGTTCTCGAATTTCTGACTGAAAGAGAAATATTATATTTATTTTAGATTAACAAAACACTTTCAAAATTTCGACAGAAATGTTAAATTTAATGGCTGATTGACACAAAAAGTTTTATTCAGTTAACCTAAAAATAGAAAATAAATTTTTGAGGCTCTAAAATGCAAGTGGGGATATAATTGCACAATTTAATACTTAATACATGCAATTTAATGCTAAAATGCAAGTGTTAAGCTAATTGTACAATTTATAATTTAATGCACCGACAGGCCCATTAGAGTGTCACTGAACGAGTTAATTATAGTTTGATTCTAAACTAGAGACACATCCGAAATAATATATAAAATATTTTCTCGAATTTTTATATATATGAATAGTAATATGTATTAAATTTGTTTTCGAAGCTTGTAACGTACATTTGAAATTTAACAGAATTTAAAAATTTCACTTTAGCAAAATATATGTTTGCATATAAAATATGTATCCATATTTATAATGTTCGTACTGATTTAAAAATAAATACTAAATAAAGTACTTAATAAAAATAAAGTACTCAATATAAGAAACGTAAGCCACGAAATTTAAAGCTCAATAGAAATATTCCATAGAAATTTTCAAGTACTCAATGGAAGTTTTTCCAGTTTTAGGAAATTTTTTAAGGACTAGAAAAACCAGGAGAATTTTGATTGAAAAAATTGGAATAGTTCAGTGTCGAGATAAAAATTTGATGTCATTATATTAAATAAAAGATTAAAAATTATGTTAGAACAAAAATATCGCAATTGTGTGCCTTTATAACTATTTTAATAATCGTGTGATAAATTTATCATAATTGCTAAAGAAATTAGTAATAATATTTATTTGCATTGCTACTCTTATTTAAAGGTTTAACTCCTTGCATGCCAAAAGCTCTTGCTACTTACAAAAAGGCTGACCGATTTAGAAACAAAAATGTTTTATTGTTCAAAGAATATTTAAGTATATATTCTTGTCAATTAAAACTAATCTGATATNATAATTGCACAATTTAATACTTAATACATGCAATTTAATGCTAAAATGCAAGTGTTAAGCTAATTGTACAATTTATAATTTAATGCACCGACAAGCCCACTAGAGTGTCACTGAACGAGTTAATTATAGTTTGATTCTAAACTGGAGACACATCCGAAATAATATATAAAATATTTTCTCGATTTTTTATATATATGAATAGTAATATGTATTAAATTTGTTTTCGAAGCTTGTAACGTACATTTGAAATTTAACAGAATTTAAAAATTTCACTTTAGCAAAATATATGTTTGCATATAAAATATGTATCCATATTTATAATGTTCGTACTGATTTAAAAATAAATACTAAATAAAGTACTTAATAAAAATAAAGTACTCAATATAAGAAACGTAAGCCACGAAATTTAAAGCTCAATAGAAATATTCCATAGAAATTTTCAAGTACTCAATGGAAGTTTTTCCAGTTTTAGGAAATTTTTTAAGGACTAGAAAAACCAGGAGAATTTTGATTGAAAAAATTGGAATAGTTCAGTGTCGAGATAAAAATTTGATGTCATTATATTAAATAAAAGATTAAAAATTATGTTAAAACAAAAATATCGCAATTGTGTGCCTTTATAACTATTTTAATAATCGTATGATAAATTTATCATAATTGCTAAAGAAATTAGTAATAATATTTATTTGCATTGCTGCTCCTATTTAAAGGTTTAACTCCTTGCATGCCAAACGCTCTTGCTACTTACAAAAAGGCTGACCGATTGAGAAACAAAAATGTTTTATTGTTCAAAGAATATTTAAGTATATATTCTTGTCAATTAAAACTAATCTGATATGCGCATGCTTAAAAAATGATTCAATTTTTTTTAAATCCTTATAATTAAGAAGTTTACTTTTTTAAACGTATACTAATTTGTTTTATACTTGCTTTTAACTGAAAATCTCTGTGACTAATAATTCCTTAATTATCACCTTAATCTAGACTTTCCATATTATTAATTAATATTACACTCCTGATCATGAAAATGAGACAAATGAGAAACTGTGATAATAATGAGAACATAAATATTTTACAACAGTTAGGAAGTATTGATTGCAGTCATACATAATTTAGCGTACAAATTCATTTAGTTATTTTATTCTTAGAAATGATTAAAATAGCTGAGTCATAAAGATTTAAATAGCCAAATCAGCTATTCAGACATAGTGATTCACTCAGCTAATTTAATCATTGCTAAGATTAAAATAGCTGAATGACCATAAAGGTTAATTTAATTTTTTTTTTCAAATTTATTTATTTAGAAATAGATATAAATATAAAAAGGCGCATGTATAGCAATAAATAAATAAAATAAACAAAGACATGCTCCAAGTCTTGCATAAAATCTTGATATCGAACAAAACTTTTTTTATAGAATTTAAAGGACCTCTAATATGTTATTTGTTTTGAGGCCACTGAAATGGTTCCCAAACTATCATAGAACATTTTATTCCGTATTGCAGTTAGAACAAAAAATTGCATTTACCGTGATCATCCTTTAGTGTAATGAGAAACCACATAAATATCTCGTTCAATAGGTGAAGCCCTGTGTTAGACAGAATTATATTTTCATGGGTTTTTCATACATTTAGTTAACATTCATGTTGTGTAATTTCCATTCAATTTTTTACTAGGGACTTGAAACGCGCCGAAAGAATCTGTATGTAATGAAAGTTTTCCCGAAACTTTTGCCAGTATAGAATTAAAATTGATATCAACTGCTATTTTAATACAACCCCTAGATGTGTACTGCTTTTCGCAAATAAAATAATACGGTGAATGTATGCAAAACTTTAAATATCGTTTGGTATTTTTTTTAAATTAAGTAGTTAAAAAAATATGTATTTAAAAAATTTAAAACAAAACCCTTACCAAAAAGTACAGTGGAAAATCAAAAAAAAAAAAAAAGTAATTAGGAAATAAAAAAAAACTTGCAAAAAAATTGTTTACACAGAAGCTTAAAAAAATACATAAAATCCAATCTTACGCTTGTCTATATTGCAATATCAGAGTTATAGATAGATATAAGTTAAATAACTGCATACTTTAATATCTAAAAACTTCAATTTTCGAACTGTTAAATCTATATATTTTGCTTCGATCTTATTTGCTTCAGCGTAAGGAAAGAAACTTGGGGGAAAATATCGTATTTGTAAAAATAGAAATTTTAGATGCGTATATAAGTCTAATCAAACATTGCACTTATTTACATTTTATACACACTGAATCCTTCATAACTCTTAAACTATTAATCCGATCAATTTGATATAGGTGGCAAACCAATTATGCCTTAAAAATATGCAAGAAACAATAACTGATTTTTCTACATCGTAATTTTAGAATACTCTCTTCATCAGTAAATTCAAGATGGCGGCTCAAGCACAGAAACCCAGAAATAATCCAAGGTCTTTCAGTGATGTCACTTCTGACTTGCCGCCTATTTCAAATCTTTGTCAACGAACAGTGACTTCATTTGACAGTGAGTTATGAGATTCTTTATATACTATCATTATATCTTGAGTTGAGTAAAAATTCTTTTTTTTTCTTCTTGTGCCTACTACCACAGATGGCAGTAGGGCAGATTCTGAAATGCTTCTCGCATTTGCAATAGTAGTTTCTATGCCCTTGATATCTGACAGTTTAAGTTTCATCACAAGGAAAAAATTTATATATTTCATTCAGTTTTGTAGGTTTGATAGCACGTTGAACGTAGAAGATTAAAGTGTTCATTTTCGCCTTAATTTACTATTTTACGCACGTGAAAAGCTTGTGAAAAATTGATCTTCAAGATAATGCTCTGTGATAGTGCTCTACAAGAACATAAATGCCAAAATTGGTTCAAAAAATTCTGATCTGGTGATTTCGATTTGAAAGATGCTCCTTGATCAGGAAGGCCTACCCGGATTCATGAAGACAAATCAAAGACATTGATTCAAGTCAAACCCACGTTGCAGGGCACTAAAAATCAGTCAGAAAAGCGTTCATGTCCATCTGACGAAACTGGGATACGTAATCAAGCTCGAAATTTGGGTTCCTCATGAACTCAAAGAAATTCATTTGACAGCCCGAATAAACATCAGCGATACGCTCATGAAACGCAAAGAAAACAAACCTTTTTTCAACGAATGATAACTAAGAATTGTTTACAACAATTTGGTACGTTAACTGCTTGGTCACGAGGTGTTTTTTTCCTCCAACTAAAGAACGGAACAATCAATTTAGATGTATACTGTAGGCAACTAGACAGTTTGAATGAATCTGTCACCCAAAAATGTCAATCGTAAGAGAGTAATGTTTCATTATGACAATACTAGGACACACACATCTTTGACTACTCGTCCAAAATTATTCGAGCTTGGATGTGATGTGTTGTCCTACCATCCACCATACTATGCATCACTCTTCAAAACTCCTTCCTGGGAATAACGTTAAATTCCGATAAGGTTTTAATCATCACCTTGTTCAGTTTTTCGCAAATAAAGACAAGTCTTTCTATGCACGAGAAATTATGAAACTCACTAAATGATGGCAAAAAGCTATCGAACAAAAATGTACATATATCATTGATTAACATTTAACCTTTAAGCAAATATGTAACTTTGAAAAATTTAGAAAAAAAATGCAATGACTTTTTATTTAACCCAATTGTTTTTAATGACAACCTATTCCTGTGCTGAATCGAGATGTATAGGGAGTTAAAAAAAAATGGGCCTAAAGTGACAGTTTATAAATTCTCCAAAAATAGATACATTCGATTAAACGCTACAATTATTAAATAAGAGCTAATATAGTTGAGTAAGTCACATTATTTATCTGCTATATTTTAATATTGTTTTTTGAAGACTTTAATATAAGCTTCTTAATTACATAATAAAAGAAATCTTATTTTGGAATTATAATTTTTTGGGTTGGGTTGTTTATTGTTCGTTAGCGAACATTATAAAATAAAATTATCAAAACAT